ATGACCTTAAAGTAATAGGATTCATTAGCTATGTTGCGGATTAAACTTACCCTAATAGGGCAATTTTTCTTCCGAGGGTATTCGGGAAGCGACGAGTGGTCAGTCAAAACGAGATCAATTATTATAAATTATACAGTTAGAGTTGATTATGTATCCCCTGCTAATTTGTCTAAAGAGGGGTCTCCGACGATGGGAGTAATTTATGAATAACTAGCTCTCCCCCTGCCCGGGCCCCGCTTCCCGCAGCAGCTGCCGGGGCCTCCGCAGCCACGCGGACGCCCTTCCGGGGCCGCCCCGACGTGCACTCGTTCAACCCGTCATTAATCGGGACAGTTACAGCTAAAGACACGACGCCGGGCCCTTCGCCCTGTCCGTTCCTGACAGTGGACTCGCTCAAAAGGCGTCTGACCAGAACTTCCTAGGGGAGCCCGGGCGCCCCAGGCCAGGCTCGGAAGACAAAGGTGCCCGGGGGGCGGCTGGTGGCTGGGGAGGGAGCGGTTCTGAGTTTCCCTCCAGCGGCCCAGGCCCCGGGCAGGAGGAACACAGGCGGCCCGGCCGTCGGAGATAAGCCGGGGACAGACAAATGGAACTCAATTTTTGCCAGAATCGTGCACATTCGGAGAGCTCGCATCTCCTGAAAGTTTCTGGCTGAGGAATCAGGGCCCAGGGGGCTGCCTCGCCCACTCCCTGCCCCGCACCGACCCTTTCTTTCTCTTCCGTTGCCCGCCTGGCCCTCCAGGCACGTGACCTTGAGGACCAGCTGGGACACACGGAGAAACAAGGCCCCGAGAGAGACAGTCTCGCCAGGAGCCCCGACGGCCAGGCTCCACTGGCCCAGGTGGGGCTGGTGTCACGGAGGATGTAGGCGGGCTCGGGGGCCGAGGGGAGGTGGCCTGCCCATGAGTGGACACTCCCCCTCCTGGACGGCGGGGGCCTGAGAGAGGAGACCGTGGATGGCCCCGCGCTCCAGGCTCCCGGGCTCCTGAGCGGCTGGGTGAGGCGGGCCCCGACCGCTGGGCTGCATGTCCGCGCTGGGTCGCTGGGTCAGCAGGTGAGTCTCAACATACCTTTCTCAATCCTCAACACTCCATCTTCTCTCACTCCACAACGTTCCCTAAAATTAACTTAATAAACTTTATTAAAGTTTTACGTCAACTTCACACTGTACGTGCCGCCCGCACGTGGTATTTTGTGGAAGAGCCACACTCAAGGGGCCAAGGAGCCGCATGTGGCTCGCGAGCCGCGGTTTGCCGACCACTGGTCTAGGGCCGGGGGGCGGGGGAGGAACCCACAAGGGAAGTCGGTGGTCCGAGGAGGGTCTGCACCCACCAGACCTCACACCCTCACACGGGCCACAGCGGGTGTCATACAGCAGTGAGGGCCTGTGGTTTGTTTTGTTAATCCTCCCCTGAGGATACCTTTCCCATTGATTTTTAGAGAGAGTGGGAGGGAGGGAGGGAAAGAGAGAGAGAGAAACATTGGTGTGAGAGACACATCAATTGGTTGCTTCCTGCACGGGCTGGGAATCGAACCTGCAACCCAGGTACATGGCCTTGACCGGGAATCCAATCCAGACCCTTGGGGGCATGGGCCGCCGCTCTAACCTGAGCAGCGCTGGCCAGGCCAGCAGAGGGCCCCTGCAGGTCCGAGCTGGCTGGGACACCCCGTGTGTATCAGGGATGGAGGAGCTGAGGCTCAGAGAGAGGACGCTCAGGCAGGAAGGCAGTGGCCTCCGGTTCTGGAACCTTCTCAGTGCAGGTTGTGGCTGAGCCTCGGGATGGGAGGGGACTGGCCTCCCGCCCCCCGCCCCCCACCTAGGAGCCGGGGTGCAGGGAGCGGGAGCGCTGGGGAGACGGGGTGACCGCAGCAGCCCTCCGTGTGAGCACCTGTGGGGTGGGCTTTGGGTCTGTCATCACTTCATCCACAGGGCGCGGCGAGCGAAGGTGGGAGCCAGGACTTGGGCACGTGGTCCCGCTCCGGCTCGCACCCACGGCGCCGTGTGTCAGCCTCACCCGGAGGCCCGCGCCCTCTGGGCTTTGCTGGAAGAGAAGAGTCTTTCCCACCGTGGGCGGGGCTCCCGGACGGGGTGTGCACAAGAGCCACTGGGGAGGTGAGAATGCAGCGCCAGGGCCCTGTGAGGGGGGGTCCTGTACTCGGGGAGGCTCTGAGCTCACCCCCATGACTCGGAGGAGGGGCCCAAAGACCACTCTTCAGGGGACACTGAGGACAGGGGGGCTGGTGTGCATCCTCAGGCCCTGCCGGCTCCCCGCAGGGGCCAGCACCGTAGGGGGCTCACACCAGAGGTGGGTTCCCACGCCCCCGGGTCCTGCTGTGCGCCCGCTGTCCTCCCACGGGCTGTGGGTTTGTCCTTCGTTCCTCTGCGCAGCCTGAGCCCACCGCACACCGACCCGACGGCGTGCGCCCAGCAGATGGCGCTACCTCGCCTGAAACCCCGTTTGTGGAGGGAGCCCGCAAGCTCAGGGTGGAGGGAGATGGAGGAAACGACACACAGGCAGGCGGGCCGACACCCCCCTCCCCGCCCGCACCCCGCTGCCCTGAAGTGACTCAGAGGAAGCGCCGAGCCTCCTGGATGCACTTTAGAATCTGCCGCGCGGCCCCCACTCGTCGCCGCATTTGCTTTCAAACATCACCTGCTGCTTCCGGAACCTGGGAGCCGGTGGTGGCTGGTTGCAGCCGGGAGCCAAGATCTATGACGTGGCCGTAACCTGTTACGGCCACACGATGGCGATGCTGCGCCAGAAGGAGGGGAGGCCTTTTTAAAAAAAATCGGAAAGAAGGCGATCTAAAGACTTGAGTGTGACCAGAAGGTCAGGTCCTGGGAGGAGACACGGTTACACTTGCACCTCGCAAACCGTGCACACGCAAACCGTGCACACGCAAACCGTGCACACGCAAACCGTGCACACGCAAACACGGTTTCCAGTTCTAAATCCTGATGAGCAAGAGCTGCAATGTCTCCACTCCTGAGAGGAACCGTGGGGGCCCAGAGGCTGGGACCTCGGACAAGATGTGGGGCCGGGAAGTCATTCTGGCCACACCCACAGCAGTGAGCGGGCAGGGCTCTATGCAGAAGAGGCTGAAAGTTGCCCGGCTGGTGTGGCTCAGTGGTGGAGCGCCGACCTATGGACCAGGAGGTCACAGTTCAATTCCAGGTCAGGGCACATGCCCAGGCGCTTCTCTCTCACCGTTGATATCTCTCTCTCTCTCTCTCTCTCTCTCTCTCTCTCTCTCTCTCTCTCCCACCCTCTGCTATGAAATCAATAAAAATACTTTCCTTCAAGGCTGAAAGTTCCTTCTCTGACTCAGCAAATATTTGAGCACCTGCTGTGCGCCAGGCACTGATCCCTAAGAAAACGGAGTCCCTGCGTCCGGGGCGAGAGACCCCAGCGCACCCTCCGCTGAAGAGCCGGCCCCGGTGCCTCGGGCGCGTTTCAGACCATCCCCCTGGCTCGCCAGCGCCAGCTGATAAGCTGTCAGGAATGGTATGAGCCAGCTCGCGAATGATATTCACTTCCAATTATTAAAGTTAAATGATATTCGCTCCCAAGTAAATAAGTTCTATGGCAAAGCTCTGAATAAGCAAGTCATATTTAAAACTCATCGCTTCCTAATCGTTTTACATTTGACAGTGACCTAGGCCAGGGGCCAGCCAATTCCGTAAGGACCGGAGAGCAAGCATTTCAGGCTGTGCGGGACGTCAGTGTCCGTCACAACTGCCCGGCTGTGACACTGCACTGTTAAAGCACGCGTGTCCCGGGGAAATGTTATTGACAAGCGGCGTGGGCTGGGGCTGGCCCGCGCCACTGCTGACAGCGCCTGGGCCGGGCTCAGGGACTGCTGTCGCTGGCACCTGTGCGGCAGGAATGCTATGTGCTCCCGTGCGGCTCCTACTGGCTCTCCTCCCGGCCCTGCCTCCAGCGACGTCACTCTGCCACCCAGGGCTCCGCACCCCCAATCTAGTATCCATCTCAGCACCTACCCAAGCTTTCCGCAAACCCGCATGCAAAAGTTACGTGCGTTCATTCAAAAATGAGAAAATTACAAGGTGGGGGAACTTTGGTACACCCTTATGGCTGATGAAGCTAATGAGTACTGGCGAGTGGAATGATGAGACCACAGGGTAGACCTGCCTTTAAAAAACACCTGCAGGTCTGAGAAGATTCCCGGTCACTTCTGGACATTGTTTTATGTAATCACATGTTACATGCACATGACAGCTCTTCTGTCCTTCTGCATGGCTGGGAAGGCATTCCAGGAAACCATGCTCGGAGCACACACATGCCACGGCACACGCTACAGCACACACCACGACACACGCCATGGCACACGCCACAGCACAGACACCCACGAGCCACGGGCTAGTCCACAGCACCCACTGTTGTCTAGACACACACCATGCGCATTGGCTACGAAAACACCATTTTCTGCTCCTTTAATCGGGAGGATAAAGCTGCTGCTACCGTGTAAATAAAACTGTCGTTACTTCAACTGAGATCAGCTGAACATGGTGAGGGGCAGGCTGCCCGGTGATCAGACCTGAGCGCTGGGCAGTCCAACTCGCGTGGCAGAGGTTGGGTACCTCATGCATCTCTCCAGGGTGTGTCACTGAGCCAAGTTCATCTTAGGCCAAGTTCATCTCCTATGGCCACGGATCTGTGCAGGGTGACACCTGTCACTCCAGGCCTTGAATAACCCGTGCCCCACGCCATAGAACAGCCTCAGGACAGCGCTGCCGGCAGCCAGTCGCCACGCTGAGGAGCGCCGACGGCTGTACACGCTAGTCCCCCATGAACGTCACTCAAAAATGGACGCTTTGTGACAGAACCACTCGTTTATGTCAACCCCAGAACAAACGGGACCGGCCCACCTGGGGAGGTGGCACTGTTCCGACCCCTTCAGCAGCACGGGACGCCGACGGGACGCCGACGGGGACGCCAGGGCGACGGGCTGATCGATCAGCCCGAAAGAAAACGCACGCATCAACTCAACACAACTTTAATAGCCGATGGAAAGCCGTCTCTTAACAACACCAAACATTTCTTCCTCACGCAACCCTTAGCTACAAAGGAGAGCGATTTCATATCCTTGGTCCGTAAAGAAGACACGTTTATTTACATTCTCGGTGGACGAGAAGAGGTCTGAACCGGGCACAAGTAGGACGATGTGCTTCCAAGGAGATCACGTGATCACCGCCCTGGACTTAAAGCTTCTGCTTTAATAACTTCATTTCGATCTTAAACGCCAGAGTGCACACGCTTCTCCTTAGAGACTCCAGGAACACAGAGCAGCTCTTCTCTGACGGGTCCTCCCACGGCGACCCCCCTGCCGCCAGGGACGCGGGCGGAGCCCCGGGCGCAGGGCAGGCCGTCGGGGCGGCTCTGCACCTGCCGCTACTTGTACAGGCTCATGGTGGGGCTCTGGTACATGCACATGTACGCGTCGCACAGCAGCCTGCGCGCACAGCCCTGGATGCGCCGCGTGTCCAGGGAGTGCAGGTCCTCCGGCGACATCTTCAGGTACTCCCGGACCTCGGGGCACGGGGTCACCTGAGGGATGTTGAAGCCGTTCTGACCACCTGTGGACAGGAAGAGCGCGGCTCAGGGTCAAGTTCTCCACCCGCTGCTGCCCGCCGCCCGCGCCATCTCACACCTGCAGCCCAGGGAAGGGGAACTGCCAGCATCTGGACTGACTTCACTTCTGATTCCTAGAAGTTAAAGCCTCTTTTGCTCTCAACGGTGTTATCATTTTGTTTTATTTCTGAAGGGATTCTGGGGCCAAGAGTGAAGAAAACTGGCGAGAGGACACAGCCTGAGCAAAGCCCACACCCGCCTCCCCGCGCCCTCTGTGCTCAGTGGGCGATAATGATACAGACGGACGCACAGCGCTCAGCTGCCCGACACGCATGCCCCTCGCCATGACCCTGCAGCGGGCGGGGGGCGATCTAGTGGAATGAGCACTCTCTCTCCTTCCATGTAACTGCTCCCGCACCCCCATATCCTTCCCACAGAGCCTGGCCCGGGGCCCTCAACACCCGGCGACCAGGCTTGTGCAGAAATGAGGAGCCTGGGCCCCGAGAGGACGAAGCTGCGAAGGAAGCCCCTCAGCTGACAGAAGCTCAGGGTCTTCCGTCAGGGGCGCCCCCTGCCTGGGGGGCAGCACAGCATCGCCCTTTAGCAGCAGGGCTGCGAGTGCAGCCCAGGCCTCAGACCCTCACAGGCTGTCCCTGGAGCCTCCCCACACTGTCCCCACAGACGCGGCCCCACGGGAGCTGAGAGTAGTGGTTACCATCCCGGTCGGCCATGCTGTCACCCGCTGTCCCTGGGGGCCTCCCCACACTGTCCCCGCGGACGGGACGCGGCCCCATGGGAGCTGAGAGTGAGTGGTTACCGTCCCGGTCGGCCATGCTGTCACCCGCTGTTCCTGGGGGCCTCCCCACACTGTCCCCGCGGACGGGACGCGGCCCCACGGGAGCTGAGAGTGAGTGGGAGCTGAGAGTGAGTGGTTACCGTCCCGGTCGGCCATGCTGTCACCCGCTGTCCCTGGGGGCCTCCCCACACTGTCCCCGCGGACGGGACGCGGCCCCACGGGAGCTGAGAGTGAGTGGTTACCGTCCCGGTCGGCCATGCTGTCGAAGAAGAGCCAGGCGGAGTCGTCCCGGCCGTACTTGACGAAGGCCACGTAGTGGCTGGTCTCGATGCAGAGCACGGCGAACAACTCCATCTTCTGGCAGGGGACGCAGCTGTGCCTCCACTCCCGGTCGGGCAGGTCTTTGGGCAGGGACACCGGGTTAAACTTGTGGTTCAGCCTCTTGGGGTGGAGGTGCACCTACACAGAGCAGCAGGAGCCGGGCTCAGGGAGGCTGGTGCTGGCTCCACTCCCTCGCCTGACTCCTCCCGGGCCCGCAACCCAGTCCTCACGGGAGTCTGCCAGGTGCACACGGGCAGGAACCCGGCTCCCTGACCGTGAACCTGCGGGCGTTCGTGATGAGTCGAGAACTCCTCCGAGCCCACCGCCTGCGGAGTGCGCGCGCGGCCGCGGGGGGCTCACCTGGGTGTTGCAGTCCTTGCAGAACTGCTTGATGGTCCCGGCCGCGATGTCGGGGTCCTCGTAGCACTCGCGGCACTCGTACACGGCCAGCCCTCCGCAGATGCGGCACTGTCGGGGGGCTGGGGCGGAGGGGGAGGGGCCTTTAAAATGCACTCTTTCATGAAAAACATTAAAACCTTAAGCTCTAAAAAGGACAATGTTCATGGGCTCAAAACAGGCTCTCCCTCCCCACCCCCTTAAGCTTTAAATTGGATTTCCGTGGATTCAGGATAACTTTAAAAATTTCTCTGACCAAATGACAATTTTTTAAATTAATATGTTCTAGGGCGCTTCCCCCGAACTATGAAGAGTCTATTGAAGGACTTTCAACGATGCAGGCGGCGCAGGGAAAGCTGACAGCATCCCGTTTCAGTTAGCGAGAGAGGCCACTGGCAAAGCAAGGGCACGGCCTCCATCCTCCCGCCTCGCACGTCCACACAGCTCCTGTGTCCACAGCTCCTTTCCCCAGCCTTTACATCTGCACGTGTACAGTGCTGTGTGTGTGTGTGTGTGTGTGTGTGTGTGTGTGTGTGTTCACAGCTCCTTTCCCCAGCCTTTATATCTGCACGTGTACAGTGCTGTGTGTGTGTGTGTGTGTGTGTGTCTACAGCTCCTTTCCCCAGCCTTTACATCTGCACGTGTACAGTGCTGTGTGTGTGTGTGTGTGTGTCCACAGCTCCTTTCCCCAGCCTTTACATCTGCACGTGTACAGTGGTGTGTGTGTGTGTGTGTGTGTGTGTGTGTGTGTGTTCACAGCTCCTTTCCCCAGCCTTTACATCTGCACGTGTACAGTGCTGTGTGTGTGTGTGTGTGTGTGTGTGTGTTCACAGCTCCTTTCCCCAGCCTTTACATCTGCACGTGTACAGTGCTGTGTGTGTGTGTGTGTGTGTGTGTGTTCACAGCTCCTTTCCCCAGCCTTTACATCTGCACGTGTACAGTGCTGTGTGTGTGTGTGTGTGTGTGTGTTCACAGCTCCTTTCCCCAGCCTTTACATCTGCACGTGTACAGTGCTGTGTGTGTGTGTGTGTGTGTGTGTGTCTACAGCTCCTTTCCCCAGCCTTTACATCTGCACGTGTACAGTGCTGTGTGTGTGTGTGTGTGTGTGTGTGTGTGTGTGTTCACAGCTCCTTTCCCCAGCCTTTATATCTGCACGTGTACAGTGCTGTGTGTGTGTGTGTGTGTGTGTTCACAGCTCCTTTCCCCAGCCTTTATATCTGCACGTGTACAGTGCTGTGTGTGTGTGTGTGTGTGTGTGTGTGTGTTCACAGCTCCTTTCCCCAGCCTTTATATCTGCATGTGTACAGTGCTGTGTGTGTGTGTGTGTGTCCACAGCTCCTTTCCCCAGCCTTTACATCTGCACGTGTACAATGCTGTGTGTGTGTGTGTGCGTGTGTGTGTTTATAGCTCCTCTTTACAAAATATCGACATGACCTTTTACTTAACGTCACGTCATCACTTTCACACTACGGGTCTTCTAACACAGGACGTATACACCGTAATTCATTTAACAGCTCGCCCCTTGGTCACATACAAATTGCTTCTAACTCTTACTCAGGCACCAGTGAACCTGTGCGCGTGAAAATACACATGGCATCTCTGACAATGCTCTCAGAATGCACTCTCGCCGCGCACTCCCGGCGGCGCAGACACGGAAGCCTGCGGAAGGCCTGCACCCGCTCCCCCCGCAGTGGAGGGCGCCCTGCGGACTCTCTGAGGAGCCAGCAGAGCACACAGCGCTCCCACTCACTGTCCTCCAGCAGGTCTGTGATGTTCAGCTCCAGGGAAGGGAAGATCTTCTTAAACAGCTTAAAGTCCTTCCCGAAGCGAGGCATCTGGATGATCAGGCATGACGGGGCCTGGAAAGGGGAGTGTTTTAGAATCAAAGCGCTGGGGAACGTTCCCTGCGAGCCCGGCCTGCGTGGCTCAATGGCTGAGCGTCGACCTGTGAACCAGGAGGTCAGGGTCTGACTCCCGGTCAGAACTTCCCTATAAAACACCAGCCACGGCCACTGACCTCTGCGAACTTCAGGCTGCTGTTGATGAAAGACCACTCCAGCAGCTGTTGGATCGTAGGAACTCCAACTTTCTCATTTTTTTCCATAAAAATCTGATAGAAGTAACAATCTTGTACTTTTTGACCTGCTGACCTGAAAGAAAACCCCACAGAGTTTCCTTGTGAAATGCTTACATCACAACGTGAATGGCTCCAACAGTGTCGGAGAACAGAAAACTGCGCATTTGATGTGCAACTTCCGACATCAGACCAACGGGGCAAAGGCAATAACTTAGATAAAATAACTAAACGTCTCTCTCCCCAGCCATCCATTCGTCCAGGTCTCGGGATTCTGTTTTTATTCAATGCGTCCCTGAGAGAATAAGTTAGTGCTGCGGAGAAGACGACGGTGGGAATTAATGTGCCTGTGGGACGGAGCCCGTGGAGACCCTAACGCACGGATGTGACGTAACCCCTGAGGGCCTCGCCGGCAGCCAATGGCGGAGGGGACAAGATGTTTCTTTTCCAGGGCGTATATAAAAACGTGAACATTACCTTATTTTTAACAATGGCTCCACCCTTAAAATATGATGAAACAAGATATTCAAGAATTCTTCAGGATCTAGGAGAAAATAAAAAATCAAATAAGTCCCTGCCAAACTTTTAAATCATTCTATTTTTTATAACAGCCATCTACCTATAGTGAATCCAGTTTCACAGTCAATCTTATTTCAATTAAAAGCACAGTTCTCATGTTTTCCTAACTAAAAATACAAAGGATATGATAAAATATTAAGCTCTAACTTTGTCATGATATTATTGCATTTGAAAAGGTATAATCATTCACACATGATGACATCATTTTAATTTCTTTGGAGGGGTTTCAGGTCAGTGGAATGAAGCCTGAAGTACGTACGACCTTGTATTTTCCTGACACTTAAATAATTACCAAGTCTCTAAGCATTACTGCTAGTTCCAACACGCTGTGAGCACGTTCAGAGTCAGGAGCTGCATCTCGGAGGAAAGCCAGCAGCCACGAACAGACAAAACGCTGACTCTGACCGTAACATCACCCTTGGCGGCAGGAGGCTCCGTGGGACGGTGTGGCTGAGCCGACCACCCTCCCAGGGAGAGGGGTCCAATGGGCCGCTGGATGGGAACGCTGGGAAGGAACACTCCCGGATACCCACCGCCTGCCTACAGCCCGCCCGCTGCTCACGGAGCCCTCTCTTCCATATTGCCACTCCCTTTAGAAGAGAGACAGCATTTTAAAAGGGGGAGCAGTCCGGCCAGCGTGGCTCAGTGGTTGAGTGTCGACCTACAAACCAGGAGGTCAAGGTTCAATTCCTGGTCAGGGCACATGCTGGGCTGCGGGCTTGATCCCCAGTGTGGGGCGTGCAGAAGGCAGCGATCAACGATTCTCTCTCATCGTTGGTGTTTTTATCTCCCTCTCCTCTCCCTTCCTCTCTGAAACCAATAAAAGTATATATTAAAAAATAATAAAAATTAAAAATAAAAGGGGAGACAATTGTACACCGCATGGACGTGTCTGTTTAAAACCTCCTCCCCGCGCTGCAGGGCCGTCACGTGGCAGGGCGGCAGGTCATCTTAGGGCAGGTCCTGGGAGGGAAGACAGTCACCTTTCTCTTCAGAGGTAAATCCTGACGCAGCCCCAACTTTTTCAAGTATTTTCCTCAGTTTCATAATCTTTGTGGCACACACATATCCATATCTATGTTAGTAAAAATATGAATTAATACTGGCACACACATTCAATTCATAGAACATATTTTGATAATCACAAATTCCTTATATAACTTCAGCATGTCATAAATCAATAGGCTAGACAATTATTTTGAAAAATACACTTACAGGCTTCTTTTTTTCCTTTTTATTGCTTTACGGGGGTGAGTTTGAAAAGTTAAGAATCTGGAATAAGAATTATCTCAGACACTATTATACCCTAAAAATAACTACCATATACTAATACAAGAAAAAATACTTTGATTTTATGATGACTGGTTAATGCTATTTGCTTAAGAAATCAGAACTAACTTTATAGAACTGAATATGTAACTTTGAGAGAGAGCGAGAGAGTCCTTTTAGTATTAAAGCATGAGACAGCCACCAGGAGGCAGGGCAAAGGGTGGTGCTAAGACACTGAAAATCTAAAATGTGCTCTCAAACCCGCCATCGTCATGTGACACTTTCGCTCGTGTCTGTCTGAGCACAGGGTGCATTCCACACCGTCCACCCGCGACAAACTCTTACTCCAGTGGCTGCAGAAGAGACGCGAGAGGCCGCTGTAGGCTGCCCAAGGGCCACTCAGACCTGGCTGATCTGTTTTAAATTTTTTATGTTAAGTGCAAGGTGCTCACTATATGTTGGCTGCAGAGATAAAGAATGCACGAACACTCACTACCCAACCAATAAAACTCTCCGTGGCTCCTTTCCTCCCAAAAGAAATCAGGCTTAAGCAGCCAGAGGATCATTGGGACTGAGAGGCACAGTGACTGCCGCGGCTGGCCTCGGTTCTGTGAGGAGAGGGGAGCCTCCTGCCTTGCTGCCCCGTGGCGCCGTCCCCCACTGGGCCCACGCTCCGGGACACACGCTGCATGCCACACCTCGGCCAGATTCAAAATTACATGAGTAGAGGCAGTACCAGGACCAAAGGCTAAACACATCACTAAAACTCCATCAAGAGAATAAATCCCACCCATTTCGTATTAAATAAAAACCAGGCGGAAACTAATAACTTTACCAAGAAACAGCAGCTAGGACGCCGCGCTCAGGCAGCAACAACGGCCCTACTCACATCCGCAGCGGGTTGACGATCTCCGTCCGCAGCAGCTCCTGCGTCTCGCTGTAATACTCCACGTCGTCCTTGTCTTTGGGCCTAAGCAGCACGGTGTCCAGAACGGAACTGAAGGCAAACAAGCTGCAAAACAGACAGGATTTGTCCTCGCGCTGTCAACCCATTACCATTTCGAGAAACACACACTGAAGAGAATGTGAAGAACAAGCCGCCACGTCTGGGGAACAAACAAGAGAAATCCGTGCTTTCCATGATACGGGGTCCCAAGAGCCCGGCTCCCAAGGAGTATAGGCCGCACATAATGAAATGCAAGCCTCCCTTCCGTCTCAGGTGCAGACACCCAGTCGCTCTACGCAAAGGCAGTGAGCAGTCTCTCCCTCTCCCTCTCTCTCTCCCTCTCTCTCCCTCTCCCTCCCTCTCCTTCTCTCCCTCCCTCTCCTTCTCTCTCCCCCTCTCTCCCCCTCTCTCCCTCTCTCCCTCTCTCCCTCTCTCCCTCTCTCCCTCTCTCCCTCTCTCCCTCTCTCCCTCTCTCTCTCTCTCACACACACACACACACTCACTGCCCAGGGCGCTCTATTCCTCCGGGGTTCATTGTAAACGTACCAGAATAAGGTCGAGTCCAGGTAACAAGAATTGTAATGGCCCTGGATGCCTTTCTTCTTCCCCATCATGATCTCCAAACCTTCCTTTTCCATTCTCGGTGGAGTATTTTCTTCCACGACTTCACTCAAGTAGCCTCCAAAGGCTGAAAAGAAGAAAACAGAGGTGGAAACAGTCATTCTTTTAAACTATGACCACAGGCATCCCTGTATATGTCTTCACTTAAAATATTCTTTTGTATTTTGAGGCAAAATTTGTTTCTCAGCTCAAAGCTAAGGTAAGGGTAGGTTGGGGTTACTGTTACTGTGCATTTCCAGCCTCACTGCCTCCACAAGTTAGAAATCGCTGCAGAATACGAAGGAGTTAATGTGAAAAAGCACCTGCCACGCAAGGTATTTTGTTCCCCAAATACTTCACTGTCTGAAGATGTGTCCTTTCAAGTTGGAAAAGAAAACAGAAATTCCGAGGTACTACCTCAGCCGCAGGAGAAATGTCTTCCCAGGAGGGTTTTCCTGCGCGGCTGCCTGGCCCCGGAATGCTCCCCACGGTCACCCGGGAGGGGCGGCACGGGAGCCGCCGCCACGGGGACGCGCTCCGCCCTGCGTGGAGCCCGCTGCGCTGCCGCTGTGAGCGCTGCCTGCGTGCCAGGCGCGGACTCGTGCACTTGGCACGTAGGGGCGGCACTGCTGACAGCACACGCTCACCGACGCCCCGGAACGAGGCTGAGCAGGGAGTCGTGCCCCAAACGCACACGTCTACCTCCCGGGCTGTTGAAAACCACATGCCTGTCGTCCACGGGAAGACAAAAATAAATCCCACGATTTTCACTTCCTAAGTCTCCAACGCGTTTGCCTGGCTTTTCCTTTCCTTAAACGTCCCCGCTTAGGATAACTGTAGCTTCCTTACACACCAGGCAACAACTCTGACCGCTTCAGAGGCCTGATGAAGGCTGCAAGACACACATCTGCCACGGCCCCGCTGCCTGCCACGGCCCCGCCGCCTGCCACGGCCCCCGCTGTCTACCACGGCCCCCGCCGCCTGCCACGGCCCCGCCGCCTGCCACGGCCCCGCCGCCTGCCACAGCCCCGCCGCCTGCCACGGCCCCGCTGTCTGCCACGGCCCCGCCGCCTACCACGGCCCCGCTGTCTACCACGGCCCCCGCCGCCTGCCACGGCCCCGCTGTCTGCCACGGCCCCGCCGCCTGCCACGGCCCCGCTGTCTACCACGGCCCCCGCCGCCTGCCACGGCCCCGCTGTCTGCCACAGCCCCGCCGCCTGCCACGGCCCCGCTGTCTGCCACAGCCCCGCCGCCTGCCACGGCCCCGCTGTCTCCTGCCGCGGCTGAGGTCAGACCGAGCCCTGCAGACGCAGGGAGGGCAGGTACCTAGAGAGTTGCAGCGCTCGATCTGGTTGGACACCGGCTGCAGGGACGCGAACCTCGAGTCGGGCCGGCAGCTCTTCAGCTTGACGAAGAGGGCCTTCTTCAGGGCGCAGGTGAAGTAGCGGGTGCCCCGGAAGGTGCCGTCCGTGCAGCCCGTGCACTCGTCCTCCTGGGGGAGAGATGGGCCCAGGCCTCACTGCCTCGTGCAGGGGTAGCGTGCCAAGAACTAAGGCTTGTGTGCCTGCACCCTTTCCCGGAACCCCGCACCCCACCTGTACTGAGGACCCCTCCGGAAAAGGCTGGCTCATCAGCATTGCGGCCCACAGCTAACGATTTCAGAAATTCGCTCCTTAATCTGGCACGAAGCCCTCAGTGGTCCCCTCAGAATCCATGTGGAACCTTCCCCGGCTAACTGACCTTCCTGCACCTTTTCCTAAAATATTAAAACTCCGCGTGTGGCGGGGAAGGGGGAAAGGGGGGAGAGGCTGTTCATTTTACCAACTCCCCCCCCAAAGCAGCATTAACGAGCATGCAGATACCACAGACCCCCATCTAAATAAAGCTAAACGCACTCAATTCTCCTCTTTCGATTATGAAATGTCAAGCAATACACTTTCCTAATCTCCAAAGGGAAAACCTCTCCTTCTGGTGAAGACCCCAAAAGATTTCTTAAAATGGGGATGAATCTACAGCCAGTGATGCGGACATTAGCGCTGACTGGGAGGGAGGCCGGGAAGGAAAACGGGCTGATCAGGGGCTGCTTCCCTGGCGTCCTGTTTCACACAATGCGCCTAAACATGAACTCCCGGCCGCTGATCGGCTGTCACTTCGGAACAGGTGACCAGAGGTCACTGGGTGGCAGGGGAAGTCAGGCGACACGGGAGTAAAACTGCTCTCACGTGACTGAACATACAACATTTCAGCAAAGCGCGGAGCAGGGGAGACCCGCCCGTCCCGCTAGCAGAGGGGCGCTTCCAGACGGGGGACGTTACCAGCTCCAGCCCGGCGAGGACGTCGCTGAGGCCCGGCGGCTGCCCGATCCAGCGGATCACCCCGTAGAAAGGAGGGTTCTCCTTGACTTCCGCCAGCGAGCCCACCTCCAGCCCGTGGCAGCTCCCGGGGGACGCGGCCGCGGGCGGGCTGTCCGGGACGGGCGTGGTGTTCAGCTCGCCCATCACCGACTGGACGGACAGGGAGAGCGGGCTGTGGCCGATGGTGCCGTTGGCATTGGGCATCTTGGTCAGGCTGAAGGGTAAGGAGTGGAATCGGCTCTCGCTGGACAGCGAGTTCATGGCCGGGGGCTGCGGAGGGGGCGACGCCTGTCCCAGCTCTGGAGGCAGCTCGGTAAGCGACGTGGCAGAGTCCTCGGCAGCTACAGAGAGGCGTTCTCGGTGAGAGGGACGCATCGCAGGGCGTAGGCAGGCCCCACCGCCCCGCAGGCGCCCGCACACGGGGCCCCACTGCCCGCCCGCCCCCTGGCGGGACGCCACCGCACACAGCCCCGATGTGTCCTCACCACGTCTTCAGCCTCCGCCCACCTCCCCGTTTCCACCTCAGTAGACGCCACCCCGCTGTCCAATCCATAAACATCTAGTATCGATTAGGGTTGGACGGGTTCTCCTCCCTGTCCATGGCACAGTGAGGGTAGAAACCACCACAAAAGACGCCACGACATTTAAGAAAGATGCTTCTCCGTAACAAACGGACCAAAGAAAACTGGTGTAAGTGTTTAAAGAAAAGAAAAAGGCAGAGAAAACCAACATCCGTGGGGCATGTCTAAAGTCAGACCTTCAAGGAAATGTACGGACTTAATCGTTTATTTTAGAAAAAAGAAAGATGATATCAATGACCTCAGCATACAACTGAAGAAGCTAGAAGAACCAAAAAGTAGTGAAAAGGAAATTTTGAATAAAACCAGAAATGAATGAGGGAGAAAACACAGTAGAGAGACCCGAAGCCGAAAGCTGCTGGCGGCACTGCGGCCGGTGGGGAAGCAGGAGCTAGGTGCGGACCACCAGTCACCCACGCTCCACCCGAAGTCACGCCCAGTGGCTCAGAAACAGCGTGAATGGCAAACCTGTGACTTCTGGGGAGACAGCAGAGGGGAGTGTTCTTTACGACGGTAGGTTGGAGAGAAAGGTCTTAAATGTGAGTACACACCAGTGATGGCGAAACTATGACACGCGTGTCAGAGGCGACACGCAAACTCATTTTTTTGGTTGATTTTTCCTTGTTAAATGGCATTTAAATATATAAAATAAATATCAAAAATGTAAGTCTTTGTTTTGCTATGGTTGCAAATATCAAAAAATTTCTGTATGTGACACGGCACCAGAGTTAAGTTAGGGTTTTCCAAAATGCTGACACGCCGAGCTCAAAAGGTTCGCTATCACTGGTCTATACACAGCAACGGAAGAAACGGGCAAACATGGTCACGTGAACATGAAGAGCTGCTTGTTCAGTAAGAGGCATCACAGTAAGACTGAAAATATGAGCCCAAACAAGGAGAAATTTCTCCCATCCTTGTATCTGACAAAGGATTGGAATTTAGAAAAGGTCTATAAATCAGTAAAAAAAAAAAAAAAAAAAAAAGGCAAAAAGAAGAAGAAACCTAATGGGGACGGAATACGATGTGGCGATGAAAAATTATACTCATGCACTAGAACTGGGAGGAATCTTAGGGACCTAATGTTGAGAAGGGAAACTACACAGATACCTACAGTCCAAATCCTTGTATATAAAGCTCAAAATATGCAGAACTAGGAGTCTACATATGCAAACTTACAGAACTCTAATTTAAAAAACAAACAGAAGGGAAAGATTAAATTAAAGATGCTGGAGGCTCAGAGGAGAGAGTGGAGAGAATGATTCCTTCCAGCCACTAAGTTCCTCGAGGCTCAGCCTTCGCCCGCACCCTCCATCCACTCTCTCCTTACGACACTATCCTGGGACTTTGATCGCCACATGCATGAAGGCAGCCGACAGCTCCCTTTCTCCAGCTCTTCCCTCTCTTCGAAGCCCCAGATCTGTATCTCCAACTGGCTGTGTGACAAGTCACCCCTGGAGTCTAAAAGGCCCTCCAACCCTCACAGTCAAAAGCAACCCCTCGCCTTCCTCCACAATCACCCAAGTGTGCAAACCAGAAACCACGGAGTCGGCATGACATCTCTCCTCCTCAGCTCTCACGCCTAGACTCTCCGGGAGTCCTGTCAACTCCCTCCCACATGGCTCAGAGCCACCCGCTCCCAGCTCTTCCCCAGCAGCCCCGTCCCCGCTCCCACCATCCAGGACCGAGCCCCAGCAGCCATCCCGGGCCCAGGCGTTCACACAGGCCTGCTCCGACCCCTGCCCACGCTGCAGCAAGGGTGAGCCTTTCAAAACGGAAGCTTGGTCGGGTCACGCCTCGCTGCAAGCCCTTCTGGGGCTTCCAGTGCCTTCCACTAGGGCCAGGCCTCACGTGCCCTGGGCCTGGTGCCTTCCCAGGAGAGTTAGGCCCCTCTGTTCTAGCTGCTCTGGCTCTTTCGCCCTTGAACCCCAGGCTCCATTGCCCACGAAGCTTCCCATACGCTGTTCCCTCCGCCTGCAAGGCCTTCCTGACCCTTCCCTTCACCCACCGCACTGCTCCGGTGAATCTAGCGCCTGTCACTTCCTGGGGAAACAGCCTGAGCCCCAAGTAAAGTCAGGCCTCACGCACAGCCACGCACGGCCACGCACCTCCCCCGCCCCCACCGCTGCAACTCTACCTGCGTCTGATCGCTGACCACACTGATCTACTTTAACAACCTGATCGTAAACACCGCCAGGGCGAGGACCAAGCCTATTTCTCACATGTAACCCCGGCGCCAAGAAGAATGCCTGGCACACAGTAAGCACCCAAACACACGTGTTGAACAGACGAAGAAGAAAAGGAGGAACCAGGAGAACACGATGGCCAGAACCACGGGAAGGAAGGGTTTTCAAAGGGCGTGTGTTAAAGAGACGAAGACCTGATGGAGAGGTCTTTAAATGACTCACTGATTCTAGAGACCTGCTACCCGCAGGTCCGCTGGGCCAAGAGAACAGCTGCTAATACATTTTCTAAAAGTTTTACCAATCTCGGCCGTGCAGTTCAAGCTGTGCACAATATTTCAGTTCAGCAATATTACTCATTCAATTTCCCCAAACTGCAGCTCTGGGTGGCAACGCCATTCCTCTCTGCTGAGTTAAGGCTGGGATTACCTTCATCGATGTACCACGTGTTTTTTGACTTGGGTGGCAGCTGTGAGTCCACAGAAGACCCATTTAAGGTATAAAATAATTCCGATCGGTTTCTACTTCCAGGGTCTGAGGTAGAGCCTATGGAACAAGAAAAGCTCCTTTTAAACACAAAGGCAATCTGGTGTGGAAGCGTTTCCATCGCTGAAATAAACACGCGCGTGGTGTTAACTGCACACAGCCCATCGATGCCCACGGACCTGCTTCATCAGCGCCGGCGGCTTTTCAAACTCTGGTAACCATTTTGGAAGAACCTGAAAGATTCTTCCAACCAAGACTCAACATAGGAGGGGAAACAAGTAAGTTTAAAGAAAACCATATACATTTTTAAACAAACTGCTTTTAGAAAATGTTTTTTAATCATCTCATGTACTGGCTTATATCCGAATGTCAGCATCACCATTCCCCAATTTCATTTGACAAACCCGTGGGCTCACAGATTTAGCCTCTAATATTTAGAAGAGTTGCTCTCAGAAGGAGGGAACCTTCAAACGTTGAACAAATTCAGTTTTAAAAATTCAAGGTTTAAGCATTTGGAACCGTTGGGCATCAGATTCCTGGCTGAGTGTCTTTGGTTCTGGAGAGAGTGAAGCTGCGCTATTTCCTACATCGTAGATTCACTCGCCGTAAAAAAGGGTCGGTGTTGCTATGCCTCAGACATTTAAGACAGGACCCGCCCCAGCACCGAGAGGGCTGCTGCAGATGCCAGCAACCAGACAACACCTGGCTTTCCCTCCATTCACAGCAGCCAGCTCCGTGCTTATGCCTACAACCAGGTCGGCTGCAACATAAGCAACACGTCTTACGAGAATACTTAGGCTATTTATGTAAGTGAGGGCCGCGTGTTTGAGACACCCTATCTACACCTAAAGGTTAGCACAAAGAATACTATCACCTATACAGTCTGTTTCATTCTAAGTATCCCCAGGTCCAACGTCAGATAAAATATTTCTCAAGCACAATTCCCTTTCAAATGAGCCAAAATAGTTTTGTTCACTAGGTGACCGAGGAGAAAATATCCTTCCCCTAACCCACTTCTGAGTTAGCGAAAGTTCTTACAGCTTTTTAAATGAGCTCTTCAGCTTATATAACTGCCATCCATACATCTATGAAATATGTGGCAGCTGACAGAAAGAGCTAAGAACTGCGCATCTATTTTGGGGGAGCTTCTGGAAGAGGAACAAACTGTTTGCTTAGCAGTCTGGAATTTCATTTGTGCACATCTAGTTAGTGAGAGCCACACAGCTAGCCTCTAGTGTACTTATCCCATGTGGCATCTTAGCCACATGCAGGGAGGGCAAACACAGCTCACTGTCGTTCAGGTGACAAATAATGCCATCATTAATCAACAATAACAGAAGAAGAATAAACTCTGTGTTTCACGCGCTCACAACTACAAAACTACGTTTGCCCGCCCTGAATGATTCGTTTGTACAGCTGCACCTCTAAACAAGGTACAAATGTCGCAAGCAGGGAGTTCCAGAAGCCAGCGGATACGGACCAGCAAGACACAGGTCCTCGCCGGAAACGCTTCTCCAACCAAAGCAGGTTGGAACCCTTGGCTTGGTCAACTCCATCCATAAAAAATGTCAGGAAATGACTAAAACCAGCTGAACGGAGCAAGTCTCCCCGCCTGGCAGGCTAACACCTGAGCCTCTTCTCAAGGCCACGGGCAGGCGGCCGCCCAGTTCCGCTGAGCACTGCGCTCCGGTCACCCATACCTGTCACCTTTGGTTTGCTGTGACCGGAGGAACCTTTGTCCCCAGCGCCTCTTGATGCAAACGCCAGCTTGGGAGGCCTCCTCTCCGGGGTCACGCTATCTGAAACGGGAAAACACGATCTTTAATGGTAAAAGCAAATCCTCACAGAAGATAAACAACCAGCAAATAATGACAGAGCAGCAAAAGGCTCTTCCCAACAAAGAAGCAGTATTTGCACAATAGTTTTACAAATGATTAAAGGCCATCGAAAGTGTCAGAATCAGTGCTGTATTCTGAAGCGGAATTACTACACGATAATACACCCCAAGTACAACTCAGCTAAATGCTCCAACTTCTAGAAAATGTACTCGCCTTCCGCCCCTCCGCCCAGGCCCAGCACTGCCTTCCCCTCACCTCGCTTCCCACGCTCCACCGCGCACATCTAACTGGCCCTGTGTCTACTGCGTCCCGTCCGTCCGCACTCGGGGGATGAAAGCTCCGTGTGGGCAGCTTCATGTCCTGCTTCGTACTAGACCTCAACCCCCGCCAGAAGCCTGAGTGCGGGCTGACTGTGTTTGAAGGAACGAATGGCCTTGTACAAAACTGAACATAAGCATGTATCGCGCCATTAAAAAGCACTGCGATTTATCAGATCATAAATTATGTTCTTTCCATAAACAGGCTTGAAAAGGTCAATTAAATATTCCTGGGTACAGTCTGACCACATGTATGCTCGCCTATGAGTGCAACCCAGGCTCCAAAGAGAAGCAGGGAAATCGCTAGAAAGCCCATTTACAGGAAAGTAAGAACTGATTTCAGAGAAATCAAGGTGAGAGTATATCAGACTTTTCAAAGTAAAACGGAGATGCAGCTGTCACTTCAATGCCTCCAACTATGTGCTCTCGCCGTAAAGCTACAGTCCAACGTAGAAAGCGCTTCCTAACGCCGCCAAACAAGCATTTCACATCATCAGCCAACAGGAAAGGGAGGCCGGACCGTGCAGGCAGGACCCTCAGGACCATGCAGTATCGGCCCCTCCGTGTTTACAGAAGAAGCAGCCGAGGCCTGAGATGACCAGGGGGACTCGCAGTGTTCTGTGTCAGAATTAGCAGAGATGGAAACGCACTGGGAGCAAACAAACCGCTTGTTCACTTGTCATCCTTGTTCCAGTAAAATTTAGCTTCCATAGAATTAGAGACAAAATACATCTCCATGGAAACAGCATCTCGAGCACACGAGCGAGGCCGCGAAGTATATTTTTCCAGGCTGGTCTCCACAGCCCACGTGTACACACAGGATGGGGTGAGGAGGCCACGTGAACGGAGCTTTCGGATCTGACCGGTCTGGACTTCACCCAGGTCAATTGTGGTCCCCTCGGGCCCGATCTAAGCCCCCGCGTTTTTTATCAGCAAAACGGGGACAATTCAGACCTACCTGGTAAGTCTGTCAAGAATGCAAAAGAATCTAAGTCATCTAATTCGGGGTTCGGGCACTTTTGGCTGCTGCATGCAGGCCTCCTGGCATTTTATCCCGATGGCATACGCTCAGTAAGTCTCCCGCCCAGCCGCCTGTCAGTGTACAGTGGAGCATCTGACCAACGGGCTGGCGATGCCTGGAAATCTACCAGGAGCAGGACGGTGCTGCGGGGCAGCCGCCGGGAGGGGTGTACCCAACAGCTGACAGCGGCCATCAGGTTCGACTTGTTTGGGTGAAATAAAGGACTGTTGGGATTTTTTAAAGATGTAAAGCTGAGTGAGCCGTTGCCGACTGCAGAGGCAGGAAGCCTGATCAATCACAGAGTCTCAAACCGACAGGGCCCGCCTGGGCCTCCCGCCTTGCCCCTGCCCATTAGACTAGATTAAACGACCAACTTCTGCTTAGGTTTCTAGTTTCAACCAGGCTCTCCCTTAAGCAGGTAGCACTTTATCACATTTCTGACTCCTCTGGTATCAGAAACAACCCCCCCGTCCCCCCCCCCCACACACACACACACACACGCACACACACGCAGAATGGACAGGTGAGGAAAGGTGAATGGCACCCGCGCTCACATATCCTCGGAGAGAAAGCGCTGTCTGTCTTGTTTTCATGTGGGGTAAGAAAGCACAGTCTATTGAATAGCAATTCCCAATTTTATAAAAGCTCCAACAATGCACCTCGAAGCTTGTATTTGCATCCTCATAACAAAGCACACCCTTCCAACGCCACCCACTTCCTCCGGAAACGGAAGGCACAGACCTGGGATGATGTCGTTGATGTGCAGGAGGAGCGTGCTCTCCACGCTCGCAAAGCTGCAGAGCGGCACGCCGTCGAACTTGCCGTCCCAGTTGCCGATGGGGTTATCCTGGAAGTGAAGTGACAGACCAGCTTCAAGATCACAGCCTGCAGGTTCCATAAAAGATTCCCCCAACCCTCTCACACTGTCACGGTTAACTGTTTCTTTGGGCCAGCCAGAGAACCACGCTGAGCACCCGTGTGTACGACACGCTAAACGTCACCGGGACACGAGGAACTGAAGAGAGTGCGGTGCCAGGACGCGCCTTTCCAGGAATGCCCGAGAGGGGTTAGAAGGATGCTCGCACAGCCAGCCGAACACGGACACAGGCAGGGGAGAGGCAGGGGAGAGGCGGGGGGCGGGAGGGTCTAACCGTTAGGCAGCCTGCCCCAGTGAGCCAGGCGAGGCCCAGGCTGCCAGCTAAGGAGGGCAAGGCCTCCCCGGCTTTTGCCAAGTTTGAGGCCCCAGTGACCTGAAGCAAAGGGAGACTAACCCACTGACCAGCTGCCCTCCTTCTCCAACCTCCCTTCACCCAGCTCACCGTCTTTCCTCTAAATTAATACTGAGTATGTAAAGAATAATGGTTTGGCCCGGCTGATGTGGCTCAGTGGTTGAGTGTGGACCAGGAACCAAGAGGTCACCGGGTTGATTCCCGGTCAGGGCACATGCAGGGGTTGCAGGCTCGATCCCCAGTAGGGGGCGTGCAGGAGGCAGGTGATCAATGAGTCTTTCTCATCATTGATGTTTCTATCTCTCTATCCCTCTCCCTTCCTCTCTCTCTGAAATCAATAAAAATGTATTTTTTTAAAAAGAAGAATGGTGTGAAGGCGTGCTTAACTGTTAGCTCTCCCGAGGGACCCACGGGTTTGATCTGGCTCTAACTTTGTTCATGTTAAATAGCCACTAAATGTTGGTCTAAACAGCACAGTCATGTTTGTCTAACTAAGGGCTGTGGAGGGGAATTTCCTAGAATTTCCCAGCACAGGATAAGAGAAACTTAGGCCCCAACATTCATACCCCACCAACAAGCACACCTGAATAGGGAGGAGTAATCGCCGCGAGCATCGTGAGTACAGAGTCTGTTTCTCACATCCGCTCCTCACTCAGGCTAGTGCAGGGGTGGGCACACTTTTTGACTCGAGGGCCACAATGGGTTCTTAAACTGGACCGGAGGGCCGGAACAAAAGCATGGATGGAGTGTTTGTGTGAACTAATATAAATTCAAAGTAAACATCATTACATAAAAGGGTACGGTCTTTTTTTTTTTTTTTAGTTTTATTCATTTCAGACGGGCCGGATCCGGCCCGCGGGCCGTAGTTTGCCCACAGCTGGGCTAGTGTGTCAGAACTCTGTATGAATTTCTTCCTTTATATCTAACAAATTCTTGTCCATATTTTCAATCTGTGACACAAATGTTCTCAGCCTTTTCTCCTCCTCCTCTGAATCCCACGGGTCTCATCCAACTCACTGAATTGGAATGTGCCATTACTAACCAATAGCGGTGTAGGGGACATGAAAAATGAGAGAGACAAACAAAAACCAAGCACTGTGTGACGCACTTCTACGAGGTACCTAGAATCGGCAAATTCCCAGAGACAGGAAGTAGAATAGAGGTTACCACGGGAACGCCGGCTGCGGGGAGTGAGTGTGGGGAGTTACTGTTTAAGGGGGATGGAGTTCCAGTTTGGGATGACGAGAAAGTTCTGGAGATGGATGGGGCGATGTATGCACAATGTGGATGTGCTTACTGCCACTGACCTGGACACATGAAAACGGTTAAGATGGTAAATGGTATGTCATGTGTATTTTGTCACGATAAAAAATTTTTGTTTAATTTTTTTTTTAAGTGAGTTATATCGTCAGAAAATACTCTAATTGTCTCTTCCTCTAGAGCAAGGGCTATTCCTCTAGCCAGGTATTTTCCATGGGTGATTTTTACACTACTCATTAAAATCAGGCCAGCCAATACAATTTTGCAAAATATTAAAGAAAGAGAAATAGAACCCCCCCCCCCAAAAAAAAAAAAACCACCTTTTCAAAATAAAGAAAAATAAGGTATTATGTAATATATTTTGGTGTGTTTTTCTGTCTACTGGTCAGCTATCATACAGCAAATTTAAAGACGGGAAATGTCATTTTAGTTTATTCAAACTGATAAGAAGAGGACATGCAATTCTCTATCTAGTCTCCTGTCCCATATCAATGCTCCTTTACCAGCGATCAAGTAGAACCTGCTCTTTACATCACTCCAAATTAGTCCATTTGAAACCTGGTATTCAAAGCATCCAATCGGTACCTAAATGGGTCACAGAGCTGATAGCCATATCCAGGGAGATCATGTAACCCAAGAGCTTCTTACTTACCATGTCCACACCAACGAAATAGCCTAAGGTTTCTTTTCCCGGCAAAGTGCCACAGAAGATAACCGTGCCAGACTCTAAGCCTTCTCCGATTTTCAGAGAAACCCTGGAGTTTATTTCCAGAGGAGGGAAATCCATCGGCGCTGCATCCCCCGGACCTGCGTAGTCACTTTCCAATCCGTTGTCATCCTCGTCTACGATTTCTAGCTTGTCCAACGCCACAAACACGCCGCAGTCTTCCTCACACTGGAAGAGCTGCTTCCCTTGGTAGACCCCGTCCGTGAAGCCCTGGCCACGACCTTCTTCCTAGTTTTTTGTGGTTGTTTTTAAAGGAAAAAAGATAGATCGATCGATCGACAGACAAACAGATAGACAGAGACAACCCGTGAGAAAAAAATATCCGCTCTGGAGAGTTCCGGGAAATCACTGAAAAATTTCCAAATGACACATATAAGAAATAGAATTATTAGCATTGCTACTGGATTTAGGGTGTTTTTAAGAAAATAAGGAAGAAGCTGTATCTGATGCTGAAATAAAACTACTTCATTTCAAATTGTAATTCTACTATGAGAGAGCAGGATGAATTCTACCTTGTCATTTGAACAATAATATTGTCTTAGAAAGAAAATTTGACTCTAAAATAACGGTAACGCGAGCTCCATTTATTGAGCACACACTATGTGCCAGCTGCATGCTACGTCCTGAATTGATGTATCACTAAGACCCCGTAAGTCGGGTGCTATTTGATAGGCGAGGAAGCCGACTTAGAGAAGTAGCTTGGTTAGTAACCTGGCAACCCAGCTAGTAACCGGCATAGCTGGGATTCAGATCTCCCACTGTTTCACCCGCACTGCTTTAGACCATTAAATCAAGGAGAAACAAGGCCTGAAATTCTATTTGTAAGACTGTCAAAAATGTACCGACATTTAAGTTCTCAAGAATTGATATTCGTTTTGAAAACCTATCACGAGTTCTTGGTTCTCTTTTCAGTAGAAAGAAGTTCCAAGATGACTTTCACATAACTAACAGGAACAACGATCAGCAAGTTTACGTTGCCACAATGTATTCAGAAAAAAATCTTTTCTCCAAATTCCATCACTTACTAACACACAGTAAGAAAAGCTGAGAAAGCTACAGATGATAATGTCACAAGATAACTAACCATTTTCTGATGTGATTAATTAGTGTACAATCAGTAGAGTTCCCTTTCAACACAGACAATATTAAAATTTCTGCCTCGCTGGTATAGTTCAGTGGTTGAACATCAACCCATGAACCAGGAGGTCACGGTTCAATTCCCTGTTTAGGACACATGCCCAGGGTCACAGGCTCAATCCCCAGGAGGCAGCCGATCCATGATTCTCTCTCATCATTGATATTTCTCTCTCTCTCCCTCTCCCTTCCTCTCTGAAATCAATACTAACTTTTTTTTTAATTCTGAGATATGCACGTCTTCAACAACTGCATGATCTGTTTGCATTTCCTACTGCAGGAGGAAGTTGTTTTTAAAGCTTCCAACACATCAGTTGTGGCATCATCTCAATTTATCACCAGGAAGTAAATTCTCAGGATTATAAACAGTAAAAATTCTGGAAAATTCCTGGGCAGACATTTGGTATTTAAAGGGGAAAAATGCATGCATGCATACAGATACACACACACATACACACACACACGGCCCACGAACATGGTCTCTCACACTCACCAGTAACTCTACTCCGAAGAATATTCCGGATACGGTCCTCTCCGCTAGCAGGGGGCCCCGGAAGCGCACGACCCCGGGGAACTTTTCCTCCCCGGGCCTCAGCTGCACCTTCACGCGGCTGCCCACGTCGACGTGGAGGCCCTTGCTCAGCCTGGTTTTGCTGTCCAGCAGGACGAGCCTCTCCTCGCAGTTGGTGATGGCCAGGAGTAGCTCCGTGTGCTTCTCATTGATCTCCACCACATCCTTCTCGTCCACGAAGAGCACCACGTGCGGCTGCTCCAGGATTCTCAAGCCCATCTGATTCTTCTTGCCTTTGGCCGGCGGGACCCTCGAGTGGCCCACAGCGCGGTCTTGGACGTACTGCCCGATCGCCCCCTTGGGGACTTTGAGGACCTTCTGGGTTTGCTTGTCGGTCACGCTGTATTCCTGGATGAGCAGGTAGAAAATCCGCTCTTCCCAGTAGGGAGACGTAACTTTTTCTTGGCCCCATAAGCCTGAACTCATTGTGACATTAACTCCAAAATATTAACTCAAGAAAAGGGGAACGACGATGTTTGTGGCGAAACCGCAAAACATAAATTCAGTGGCCGTCCGCAAGCATGGTGTGGGCAGCGTGGTGTCCATGCTGCAGAACGACAGGGAAACACAAAGCCTGGAGGAGAGCAGAGAGGAGCGCTTCGCTCTGCACGCGCCGGAACTCAGGTTCAAAGCTTTAAAACCTCACTCAACCAGGGAAACACCACAAATAAAATTCCCCCCAAAATACCTAAAAAGGTTAAAAGGCATATTATTTGTACGCACTGTAATTTTACATATTTCACTAAAGAGATCCGATTGTAAAGTATCTTCAAGGACAATATAATAATGTTTGTTTTCAAGGCACTGGTATTTGTAAAATCAAATTCTAAGTAAAAGATGACCCTATAGGCATATCCTTACATTTCTAAACTTTAAAAAGTAGCACTTTTAATAGAAACTGCCTAACATAAATGGATAGCTGCTGTATTTGGACAAAAATAACATAAATCAAATAAACTATTATTCCTATATGTATACCTAGTTTATGTAAAAAGTTATCCATCATAACTATTATGTTCAACATCTTTTCTCAATCAAGTATCATAAAATCACATCCTGAGCCACAATTCATTTATCTATGTGCCATATTTTGACAACAGAACATTTTATCTCTGACTGTTTCATTTCCTTATCTTGTACATTCGGTAGGCAAATGTTAATCATACTAATCATAGCTATCATTTAATTTCTCACAATCAAAATCATCAGATACAGCAACTCTGATTATATTAAAGATATCTGAAAAAAATCAGTTCTGCAGACATCAAAACTTGGACTACATACCAAGGAAATATAGCCATATAGTAGCAATATACATGTTTTTATACCTAACTATGTATACTAGAAAGGAATACACAAAAGATGATTTTCAGCTTCCAATTTTCATTTTAAATGTTTCAAGTATACTAATCTTTTGAAATTCAAATAGCCTACTCAACTCTAATTGATGATTAAAAACTATACAATTTCATTAATTCAAATTAGGACTTTAACCCGTCATTTTAATTCATTGTCTTACTGCCAACAATAGTTCCGATCGACTCCCTGTCGCATGAATGGGCTCTGTGGTGTCTACATACGGTATTTATTCCCTCCCCTCTGACAGGTCTCCATTTCCATTGTCCCAGGTAACAGTGGCAGCTGATAGCACTATCATATTCACCCTTTTGTTCTTGGAATTAAAACGCAAACCCTCCTAAAACTAAAGAACCGGATTTTAGGTTTCATCACTTAATGATTAAGGAATCTGGCACATCTATGCACAGGACAGCATTTCCTTTAGGATGCGCTGCAGGGTAACGAGGCATCTATAACGATAAGTAGTCAAAAGCCCGTCCCTCTACAAGCCAGGCGAGGCAGGGAGTCCACACCCTCAGCAACGGCACTGAGCTGTCTGCGCAACAAGGTGAGGGCCGGCCCGGCCGGGAGCATGGCTGCTTCTCTCCCTTTTCCTTTTCTTTTCTGATCATGTGTTTGTCTTCATTCCACTTGAGGGCGCTGTCTACTTCAGCAGGAAGAGCGTCCATTTATATCTGCCACTTACATAAGACACCTGTGGACACCGGATCTTGGCACCAAATAAACAAAACCCCTAGGGGCGACCCCAGCAGCCACCCAAAGCCTTCATTCAACAAGGAAACAGCACTATTTTCCTTGCCCATTGAATTACCCATATGAGCATAAAGGGTGAACTGAGACTCTCAAAGGGCAGAGGTGTCTGCTGCTTCGTGAGCAGGCCCTATTCAGGCCGTGCGCCTGAGCCGTGTCTGCTTCTACAGACGGACAGACGGCCGTTGTCCCTTGCCCTCAGCCACCTCCCACGGCCTCTTGCAGCGTGCACAGGCCTCCTTCCACGGCCTTGCTGCTTCCAGTCACTTCTCGGAAGCCAGGTGGTGGGATATTAACCTGCATGGGCACCGGGTGGCTCCCAGGGGCTGAGCTGGTCAAACAGCAACCTTTGAAATGTGAGCCCTTCTTCTGTTCTCTGTAACAGGGATCCAAATATTTTGGCACACCCCCAACACACAAAACTTTTTAAGTATGGCAATTCTATTTTGAAAAGAAAATTTTTAATTTCTAAAAACTATACCTTCAAATAGTAAAATTAAGGACTTCTTGAGTCTTAATAATTACTATATGCCAACAGCACCTACTCTACTGGCTCCCTAGCTTAACAATTCATGTCCCAATTTAAAATAAAACCATCAGTGCCAATGAACTATTACTAAGACTGAACTAAATTACTCTGTGACTGCATTAGGATACTATATTTTAAGTGAATTTTATTGAAAGTATTTTCTACAAATCATTTAAGACACAGTCCCTGGTAAAACTGGACTTAATGCTTTGGTTTAAAAAGGCTGAGGACACTTTAACAAGAGTCACCACGAACCATGTTTCACAGCGAACTCTAGAAGGGGCAGTGCCGCCTTTCTAACTTGCGTTAGCACCAGTGCGCGTCAGCCGAGACTCCATAGCAGAAGATTAGAGCAGCCAAAGCAAAAGTGATAAAATATTTAAGAAGCATCCTCCAAAACCACAAAGCATGTGGTCTTTCTTCTTTCGGAGAGAATACATTAAGAAAGAATAGGTTAGGAACTATCATATTAAAAATTGATTCTCTTCATTGCAACTGATCATCAGAGAGAGTTGAATGGGGAACTTTAGCTGTGGTCTAGAGTTATACACGCTGATGCGCTTCGTGATCTTGAACGGATCAATATAATGGCATTACTGCAGAAATCTGTCAATAAAGAGACTTTCCGTCTCGTCAGAAAGAATATAATGCCAACACTCTCCTTTCACTGGTGTATGTAGAACAGCAATCAAGTCTTAAGACACCCCAGCAGGGAAAACTGACAGGAGATGATGTGGGAAAGATTTACGTCATATTGTCAATGAGTTCTTTATCGCTGAAGGAGGTCTGTCCATTTGTTTAGTATTTTTAGTGTTTTAGTATTTTCAGTGTTGGACCCTGAAAAATACAGACTTTGTAAGCTAGGATGGCCGCCTTCACTTGCGTTCTCTTCCTGCCTTTCAGGTCTCATTGCTTAACTGCCTCTAATAGGACACTTCGCTTTGAGGGTTAATAGGCCACAACTGGTTCATCTAAATGCCATCGCACTGATTTCAGGCTGAAGAACTGAGGGACTGCAAGCAGCCTGATAATTACTGTAGGTACTAAATGAAAATCACCAAAGAACTGGAATACAAAATGTAGTTAAGCTCAAAACCATATTGAACAGAAGGCCTTGCTTTTGACAACATTCGAGATGAGAAACAGTTCAAGGTCACAAAGATTGGAAACTATATCTGGTTATCTGAGCTTGCTGACAGTCTGAGTCCTGAGTAAAGGAGAATTTAATTATATTAAAACAAAGTCATTAAATTGAGATGAGGGTTGGGAGATGCAAATATTTACCAGTCTCCTATCAGTGCAATAAAAAGGTGATCAAATATACGCAAATATTACAGGTCAGAAGTACCTTGTTCTAAAGATAATCCTAGTACAACTGAACAGCCTTAGCAACAAAAAACTGATAGTGGTTAACTCTCCAGAACATACTGCGCCACTTTGATTCTCAGGTTATCAGGTTATAATTGTTCAGAGAACTTCACTAAAGAAAACAAAGACAGATCTCATTCAAGACCAGTTTGCATCCCTGAGCCATCGGGACTTGCTCTAAAACCTCAGGAGGCTCTCTAAGCCAGAATAAAAATGGCCACGCTGAAATACTGCCCCTAACGTACAAGGCCAAGGGAAGAAGGTCAGGGTGAAGACCAAAGAAAGAAAGACCATGGGACGTTTTCCAAAGGCTTCTGGATAGCTAGAATAATGACCACGTTAAGAAAGAATATCTCTCGTTAAAACAACAAGCTGTTATATTCCCTAACAGCTAAAGAACTGAAATAGAGAGATTTGATGATGAGAAAAGAGACGGTCAGCTTTACTCTTCCTCATGGATGAACTTGTGGTCCAAGCAGGCAAGTGTTCAGTCCCTAAAACAACTGGGATTTATAAGGTTAAAAAACACACCTGGCCCCCGCACCTGGAAATTCATGGCAGAAAAACAAGGACTCCTGCGGTGTCACTAGAGCAAGCATGTCAAACTCAAAGTCTACCTCGGGCCAAATAAACGAGGCACGCGGCCCGCGGGCCTCAACTTTGACATGCTTGCACTAGAGTGAACTTCCAGACTGTGAATTCCCCAGGTCCTTCACGTTTATATTTCTGATCCCCCAACCCGCGCCTGACAATATGGCAGGCGTTGAGGGCGTGCAAAATGAATGAATGACTTGGTTAACTCAAATGATAACAGTGAAAACCAAAATTCCATTCCCTCCTTTTACTATTGTTCCAGGTTAAAAGAAAGAAAGAAAAAGATTCTGGAGCCGGGAGTATTTTAATGATTTTTACCTAAGTCTCTGGAAAATAGCTCTAATTCATAATGAAGTCACGGCCAATGTTTACACCTCCTCGTTGTTGGTTATATTATTAAAAAAAAAAAATAAGGACTATTTCACAATTACGAAAACCACTTGTTTGGGGTTCATTTGAAACTGGCTTCCTAGATTCTCGCGCCGTGACTGGTGCCTATGGATTCCGCGTAACTATTGAAAAGACCTCAACAGACTGAAAACTGTGGTGTGACAGTCAGAACAAAACATTAACAGTTTGATGAGTAAGATAATTACTCCCTTCTCTCGGCTTGCACGGAAGACTTCCTCAAAGCAAACGAAATCACAGCCTAGGCAGGGCGCAGCCACACGCAACCGCTGCGGCTGCGGCTGCGGGTCTGATGGTTTATACGACCAGGGCCCTGGTCTTCACGGCTCTTCACAAGAGTCACCGCCCCGAGGAGGCTCCTTCGCCAGAACTCCGTAAGAATCTGTCGCCGAACGTCAGAGAACTGTTCTGGGTGTAGTCGGCGTTCACAGTACCTGAACTTCCGCCAGGATTTCCAGCCAACCATTTTGTCCCAGTGCTAATATTCTAGTTCCAATCCACCCACCACCCAGTGGGAACTTGGCAGCTGCATTCTTAGGGCCATTCAGTCTACTTGGGACATGAGGGGGTGGACGGAAAAACCAAGACGTGAATGAACACCCACCCTCTCTCGAGGCCTGGGGTTTTCTCCGGGAACCGAGGGCTGCAAAAGGGACAACCTTATGAAGATCCCCATTAGCCCGAACTGGACAGCAAGGTGGGGGGATGCGCCTCAGCTAGGTCCCCTGGGGGGCAGGGATGATGGGGACCGGGAGGCTGTGAGGCTTGGTGGCTGGAAGGTGACAACCGCTCTAAAAACACGCCAGGGCCACGGGGTGGGACAGAAAAGATGCCAAGGACGTGAATAACCGGGCAGCTGACCCAGCTCAGCAGATGGTTGAAAAAAAAACGATAGTAAACAGGAAGGAAAAGGAAAGTGTACCTTGTTTCATTCAACGGGGTGCACCTGTCAGCCGAAGAACCCGGGGCCGGGCAGAGACCATCCTCTCCCTGGGAACGGGGAAACTGAAAGGAAAAGCAGAACACGCCATCAGCGAGGCCCGAACCCCGGCTGCTCTTCCTGGACGGAAGCCACAGACACCCCGACACCCATGGACCGACGGATGCGAGACGCGCCACCCCGCCGAGGGGAGATGGCACAGCCGGGGGGCTCCCGAGGCCAGCCCGGGCGGTCAGGAGCCGGCCGGCGGCCCGTGCCTCGGTTTCCCCATTTGTAAACACGGGGTCCCAGGGGGCGAGGGGCTCCTGCGCGGCTCCCGCTCCAAGTCCTGTCTTCCCCGGGGGTCCCGGCGGGGCAGCCAGGCGCCCACCACCACTCGGGAGCCCTCTCGGGAAGGCCCGGGGGGTGGGGAAGCCCCGGGCGAGGGGAAGCCGGGCTGACGTCAGCGGGCTCGGTGTCCCGCGGGCCGGACCGGCTCGGGGCCGGGGCAGCTAACGGGCCGGCGCCGAGGGCCCGATGGTCACGGCCACGGCCGGAGGCGTCCAGGGGCCGGGGAGGGGCGCCCGAGAGGCCCCGGCTGCCCACCGCTCGCCGGTTCACCCGCCCCCTTGCTCACTCACCTCGGACAGCGGGGCGGAGCCCCTTCCCCGGCCTGGTTCGCCCGCGTCCCGGACCGGTCCCGACGCCCAGCGCCCACCGCCCCAGTATTTACCTCCGACGCCCGGCCCCCGCGCAGCCGAACCTGCTACCTGGGCCCGCCCCCACCTGCCCCGCCTCCGAAGCACTGGAGGGGGCGGGAGAGAGCGGGGGCGGATGGCGCAACCGCCGCGCTGACCAATCACAGCCCGAGGTGCGTTCTTGCGCACGCTCTGATTGGGTCTCCCAGTGACAGAACTTCCTCCAATGGCTGCAGACCCGGAGCGGTCTGTCGGGACTTTCCGCTCCGTCAAGCTCGGTGGAGCCAAAGGGAAAGTGGAGGGAAGGGGAGGGGCCCCGGAGGATGAGGGCGGAGATTGGACGGAAGACTCTGGGTTACGCGTCCCCATTGGCTGACACCTGAGCGGGGGCGGGGCGTCGTGCTTCCCGGGCTCCACCTCCCATGCTTGGGTTCTGGCAGTAGGCTTAGCTGTCAAAACACTTGCAGGCTGAGTTTGGGGCTGTGGGTAGAGAGCAGTCCAGAGGAGGGCTGGGAATAGCATCTCAGGGTTCCGGGGAAAAGCAAAGCTTTGGAATCAAACCGAAGTGTGAATCCTTTGTGCTTTCAATAAGGAGACGCGTGGCATGGGGAACTCACAACCACGCTGAGCCTCCATGTCCGCATCTGTAAAGTGGAGATCATCGTAACACCTGTCTTGCAAGGAGTGTTGTGAAATGCACAGCAGGCGCTCAGTCATGTCAGACCTCCTCCTGGGACCTGTACCGTTTCTGAACCCGGGTGGCCACCTCTCCCAGGTGGGAAAGAGTTCTCCCTGAGGTGCTGAGGACGGGGTATCCGCACGCCGCCTCACTCAGATCTGCGCCCTCTGGCCACCAGCCAGGACTTGGGGTGTAGTTAAGGATCTCTCAATTACAAGGGAGGTTTGTGATTCCCAAAAGCGCTCAAAATATTTAAGGAAGTGCTTTTTATAATCAGTCCCAGGGCCTTGCAGCATGCTTTGCGGCACTGGATACTCCTGTTAATTAATTCCTTCTCCTTTGACATTCTAAGTACCAATTATAGGAGAAGGTGATTAATAGTGAGGGAGGAAGAGGTGTGTGTGTGTGTGTGTGTGTGTGTGTGTTTAATTGTGAGAGGGGAAATTTCCCCCGTGGAAAGTGATCTCTCTGAAGATCGAGGGGATTGAAACCAGTGAGTACATAAAAGAAGTCACACGAGTGATTACTCACAGTCCCAGTACACAGGCCTCCCATGTCCCTTGACATAAGCATCTAGAATGAAATGGACGTCTTTTGAAAACCTAAGCCTCAATCCATGCTCGTGCCTCCCTAGTCCACCCTTATCCTGTCTCCCAAGCTCCATGGCCACACTGCCTAGAAAACAATGAAATAGGAAGCCACAGTCCTGCTTGCAGTGTGGCCTTAGGTGACACCATTCTCCTTCTAGGTCCAGATTCTCCCATAGAGTCGGAGGAGTCAGAGGTCACAGTCTGGCTGTCTATGAGAGAAGTTCTGCTCGGCCCGGCCCGTGTGGCTCAGTGGTTAAGCATCAACCTATGAACCGGGAGGTTGCCCTTCGATTCCCATCAGGGCACATGCCTGGGTTTCAGGCTCGATCCTCAGTTGGGGATGTGCAGGAGGCAGCCCATCAATGATTCTCTCTCGTCATTGATGTCTCTATCTCTCCCTCTCCCTCTCCCTTCCTCCCTGACATCAATAAAGATTTTAAAAAAGAAAAGAAAAATTCTGCCTGAAGACCTTTATTGCCTGACCCACACAGTGGGGCCAAAGAGGACGTGGAGTGGGAGCGAAAGATGTTAAGTCCCTTTAGACAGGGCGACACTCCCCCTTCCTCCCTTTGCCACACCCCTCACCACTCCCTATTGTTCCCCCTGGCATACTTCTGTCACTGACATTAATTACTGGCTCTGAGGCACTTGAGTTTGCCACGCCTGGACGAGGGCATCTTGGCATCCTCTGTGATGATGGTGTTTGGAGCCGCTGGGCTTTCTTCCTACCAGCAGGGGGTCAGTCCTCCTGTAGCACGTCCTCTGAATCACAGGGTATCCGGTGTTGGCTTCATCAGAGAGATATTCTTCCAAGCCAGGCCAATAGCCAGGGCTTATCTTAATCACCATCTCCTCCCCACTGGTAATGGCTGCCTGGAATACGTGAGGAGACCAAGGCAGCCATGGGGTCAAGGGACTCCCCAAGGAGCCCCTTGTTTCCTGGGGGTGGGGGAGAGCAGTTGAGAGGAGGGGGGTGTGAGGCTGAAAATGTCAAGAAAGAAGTTGTTCCAAGTTTTTTAAATAAAGGGGGGCTGTGGAGCTCTTGTCAGAAGGATTTTCAGGGTGGCTGATGGGGCGGCAGCAATGCTTAGGGGATAGGATCTGTGGGTTGTTCCAGAAATGATGATAGAGGGGATTAAACTTAGAGCCAAAAGGGGGAAGCCAAAGATCTCAATTGCCAGTCTGCACAGCTGTAGGCCCGCCCCCACATAATTCTCCAGGGGAAACTGCCCAGGCCGGTCCCCAATGGCGTTGGTGACCTTGCCCTTCCCCTGGGACCTGCCAGCCGGGGCCTGAGGCCCTGCGTTCCCTTGCCAGGTGCGTGCCCGATGGCTGTGCCCCGATGGCTGTGCGCTTCGCCCACTGGGCTGCAGCATCCCGTGTGGGGAGGGAGGCTCCCGCAGACGTGTTGGTGCAATAGTGAAATGACACTGTGGTCTCAACTCAGCCCGCTTGGAACCGAGGCTACCGCCCACTCTTCTGGGGGTGTATTCATTGCGGCATCTGTTTTTGGTGCTGGGGGGGTGGGGGGGGTGCGGGGGGAGAAGACACTCAGATTCACTTTTTTTTTTTTTCTGCTCTAGGATGATGGTGAACATGATGAAAGTCTAAAGCTCTTTTAAAACATTCTCCATCTTGGCCGGCGTGGCTCAGTGGTTGAGCATCAACCTATGACCCAGGAGCCCAGGAGGTCCTGGTTTGATTCAGGGTCAGGGCACATGCCCAGTGGCAGGCTGCATCCCCAGTAGGAGGCGTGCAGGAGGCAGTGGATCCATGATTCTCTCTCATCGCTGATGTGTCTGTCTCTCTCTCCTGCTCCCTTCCTCTCTGAAATCAATAAAAATATATATTTTTAAAATATACATTAAAAAAATTCTCCTGTCTGCCACCTCGTTTTCTACATGTAAGAATGACGTCTTCTTAGCCACAAGGAGGCCTCTGCCTGCCCCTGGGTAAGCCACTGGCCCCCGGCACCCACCTTTCAGGTGACCTCCCCATCCGAGAACTCTAGGACGAGGAGTCCTCCCTCATGAGCGGCCTGCACGGGCCCAGAACGCTGTGCGTGGACCTGCTGGATTTTTCAAAGTTAGGAACCTTCTTCTCGGAGCCCTGACAGCAATCGCACACCCGGTTCTCAGGACCCGTCTTCCCTGAGCCCTCTCCGGCTCCTCTTTCTCCACAGTCTCCCCCTGGGTCACCCCTCCAGGCCCAAGGACCCCTCGCCCTCTTGATGCTGAGGACGCCCCGGCTGTCCTACGTGGCCGTGACCTCTCCCACAGGGTCCAGACCTGCACGTGACCTGAGGTCTTCACCTGACCTCTCCCCTCGGGTGTCTCAGACTTGACAGTTCTAAGCGCAAGCCCCGCCTACTTCCATGTTTGTTTCCGACCTGTGGCCTCCCGTCTCCCAGTCCAAAACCTAGGAGTCATCTGGATTCCTCCCTTTCCCTCCTCCTCCTCCTCATCCAGTCCATTTGTAAACCCTTGGCCGTCTACCTCTGAAATCCATCTCCTCTCCATCCCCACGGAGGCCACCTCCGGCGGGCCCACCACCGCTTACCTGCAATAGCTCCCAGGCCGTCTCCCCACTTCCTCTCCCCCTCGCTCCCAGCCCCATGCATTCCAGCCCCTTCTCCACCCAGGGGCAAGGGAGGTCCTCTTTAAATATCACTGGGTCACTTCTCCCCTGCTTAGAACTCTCCAGTGGCCTGCGGTTATTCTAAGGTCAAGCCCCAGCCCCTGACCTTGGCCAGCGAGGTCCTTCCCGACTGGTCCTACCCACCTCTTCAATCCTATCTGGCCTTGAGCTCGTCTCAGACATACGGTGTGAGTTTCCCGTGGCTGCTGCAACAGATTGCCATGAACTCGGTGGCTTACCATGGCACGGATTTATTCTCTTGCAGTCCCGGAGGCCACGGTCCCAAAAGGGTGGCAAGGCTGGACGTGCCCAGCGATTCCAGGGACAAGTGTGTCCTGGCCTTTTCTGGCCTCTAGAGCTGCATCCCTCGGCCCAGGGTCCCTTCCTCCACCTTCAAGGCCAGCCGGGGAGCATCTTACGTCAGCGGCCACACTGTCTTGTTCTCGTGGGTCAGACTCCCTTGGCCTCTCTCTCTGGCTGCGTTTGGGGGTCTGTCCAGATCATCCAAGAGGCTCTCCTCATCGCAAGACCCCTAACTTCATCGCATCGTTACAGTCCCGTTCGCCATCTAAGCAACATTCACGTGTCCCGGGATTAGGACCTTCAGGGGCCATCGCTTAGCCAACCACACAGACCAAGCTCCTTCCCACAACAGGGTCTCTGTACTGCTTGTCGCCTGGTCACCTGTCCCTTGCCTCTCCCTCCCCCTCCCCCCTCCTCCCTACAACCGCCTGGGAGGCGGGAACCGTGTCTCTTTTGTCCACCCACCGATCTTCCCAACATGACTGGCTGATATGATTGCAAACTGAAATGAGGGAAGATGCATTTGGCCCTGCTCTCCCTTTTCGGGAGGGAGGGGAGAGGGAGAGACACTCAGATTCATTGGTGTTGCTCAGTGGTTAGAGCATCAACTCACACCCCAAAAGGTCACAGGCTCAATTCCAGGTCAAGGGCCTATACCTCCATCCCAGGCCCCAGTTGGGGTGTGTGCAGGAGGCAACCAATCGATGTGTCTCTCTCACATGGATGTTTCTCTCTTCCTCCCTCCCTCCTTCCCTCCCTTCCTCTCTCTCTAAGAAAAATCCGTGGAAAAAATATCCTCGGGTGAGGATTAACAACAAAAGAAAAACAGGAAGATGCATTCCCAACCCAAGATGCATGAAGAGGCTGCTGTGTGCGCTGGTCGAGAGAAAGCAGACCCACCCTCTCTCCCTCCTGGTCTCCTCTGTCAGCAACCACGGTCAGGACAGAGCCACGGCCACCGGCCGGGAGAACCGCAGACACGCTCACACACGGGAGCCCCGCGGGATGCCGCCGGCTAACGAGCCAGGCGCACGGAACCTTCCAAAGGAGCGGGTTTCTCGCTGGTGAGCAGCCACCTGCGCCCCTGCTCATTAACCGCAGCTCAGAATTCTTCCCCCTCGGCCCACCCGGCGGAGGCTGGCAGGGGACTGCTGTGCCCAGTCGTCTCCCTCCCTCTCCGGTTAAAAGGCGCCCGGAGCCACGTGGAGGGCACGGAGGGGGGCCCGGGGGCCTTTCGCCGGGGCCCCGGAGGGTCCGGCACAGCTCAGCACGTCACGCCGGGTTAGGCTCTGCCAGGCCGGGGCCCAGTCTGCTTGGATGGCAAGGCTGTTTTCTAAGACTTGCTTTCGCCTGCAGCAATAACTCACCTGGTCGGAAACACAGCGTTGCTTTAATCCTTGACAAGCTGCAGGGACAGGACAAAACACACGTTCGGTCGCGACGAAGACAGCTTGGGGGAAACCAGAGTTTTCTCACGCGTCTTTTTTTAATAAAAATATAAACTTGGGAGAATAAAATAAAGAGGTGTATAAATAGTAACCGGTTTCCACGAGCAACGCTGTTGAGCATAATCACGCGTGCCCGGCACCTGCGGGCTCACAAAGGCTCTGTGCGCCCTTCGGGAAACCCCGGAGAGCAGAGAGCGTCGGCTTGGTGAGGAAGGGGCTCTGATTTGCTTCTGTAAACTTTTCATCCGTGACTTCACATCCCGGAGCATCTGGCAAAAACCAATTGCCTCGCCCAGCCGGTGTGGCTCAGTGGTTGAGCGCTGACCCAGGAACCAAGAGGTCACCAGTTCCATTCCCAGCCAGGCACATGTCCGGTTGCGCTGTGTCCCCAGTAGGGGGCATGCAAGAGGCAGCCGATGGATGATTCTCATCATTGATGTTTCTCTCTCTCTCTCCCTCTTCCTTCCTCCCTGAAATCAATTATTTTAAAAATCAATCGTCTCTTAGGAGGATAGTTGGGAGTCTGATGTCCGAGTCCAGCTCACAGGCAGCCCCCGGAGGGAGACCTGCGGAGGGCGTTCCAAATCCTGGCGCGGACGGATTCTTTCAAAGCTGCCTCCGGATGGCGAGGTGATGCCACCGGCTTCCCTGGAGGACCGGACGTCACAGGAAATGAAAGTCCGCGTGTGGCACCAGCTGCCGTGCGGTCACATTCTTCTCGCAGATCTAGACAATCCGGGGGACTCAATAGCTGCCGTGTGTCCCCTCCATTAACGTCTTAAGGACCAGAAAGGAGCGCAGGGCGAATGGCAGCCCCTCCCATCATGGGGCCGGGAGGTAAGGATAGCAAAGCGGAGGACACTGGTCTCCGCAGTCCTCGGCCCCAGAGGAAACGCCACGTGCGCGTCCAGGGTGGGTGGAGGGACCGGATGGGGGAGCAGCCTGGATGGTTGACCCACAGCATAAAGTTCCTTCCTGCCCGGCCCTCATGGCTCAGGGGTTGAGCGTCGACCTATGAACCAGGAGGTCACGGTTCGATTCCCGGTCAGGGCACAGGCCTGGGTGGCGGGCTCGATCCCCAGCGTGGGGCGTGCAGGAGGCAGCCGGCCCATGATTCTCTCTCATCATTGATGTTTCTCTCTCCCTCTCCCTTCCTCTCTCTTTAATCAACAACATATACCAAAAAAAGAGAGTTTCTCCCCGAACACCCCCGGCCCCCATTGTGAGAGGCGTGGGAAGGGGCTCCTCACGGGGATCCAGGTCCCCACCAATAGGCTCTCGGCAGCCTTCGTGGGCCTCCTGACGCGCTGCATCCGCCGGAGGCCGCCCCGCCACACGGAGGGCTGCTCCTCTCTGCAGCCGTGAAGCGAGGGAAGGACTCGGTGGCCCACGGGGACCGTGGAGACGTCCACTCCGAGGGCATGGATGCCCCTTCTGTGCCAGAACAAAGGTCACTGTTGAGCTGGCCTGGGCAGGACAGGGCTCCGTCCGGACGGGCGGGCGGGCGGGCGGGCGCAGGTGTCATCCAGCCCCTGGGGCTGCCCGGCTGCTCTCACACACACCAAGGGGATCCTCGGCCGGAGACATCACAGCAGGAGCCTGGCGTCCCTGGGGCCCAGCGTCTCCATTTCCTCCCGAGAGAAGGCGTTTCCCCGGAGCCTTCGGGGGACAAAGCAAAGAGAGGGCGGAGTGAGGGCGGAACCCGGCATTGCTTTCCCACAACGGAAGCGGAACCCCTAAAAGCCACGGCTGCCCCTGCGGCCCACAGCCTCCGGGCGGGCACCCTCTCCCCACTGCCCAGCATCCCTCGAGGGCGTCGCGCCACAGCCGCTGGCCCCGGAGAAGATCGCATTCAAAGTGCGGCTTCCCCTGAACGCGTCACGTTTGCACCGTCGTGAAGTCGAAAAATCATGTCAAGCCATTGTAAGGTGGGGCCCGTCTGTATTTTACAACTAGGAGATTCCCCCCTAAAAGTCTATACTTCAGGGTTTTTAAATAAAATAAACTTTTTTTAAAAGCTGGTAACGCTGGCTCCCGGGGAGGGAAGTCTGCTGGTTTTGCCCCGCGTTGGCCGGGGCAGCGCACGCGCCCCTGGGGGTGATGGCACAGCGCTCGGGGGCGGCCCGGAGTCCCCGCTGGCCCCGGCCGGCCGCCGCTCTCCGTTGGCGGCAGCAGAGCAGTCCAGGCGCAGGGAGCACTCCCCAGCTGCAGCAGCAGGAAGCAAATCGCATCAGAACCCTTAAAATATCCGCCTGACGCGGGCCTGCTCGCCCCGGACACAGAGCGTGACATTCCCGAGGGCTGTGCAATGACTTCAAAACAAAAACAATGCACACCCCTCCTTGCGTGCGCCCGGGCCCTGCGGACCTCACGGCCCCGGGGATGACCCGCTCGGACAGAGACATGCTCTCCACCACACGCCGCTTTGAGGATCATTATTTTTAACTTCGCCATTTGATACCTGCCGTGGCTGCCACCTTGCCGTGGGTTTCGAGGGAGGGGAGAGTCTGCCCCTTGAGAGCAGGGCCGCCAGCTCCCGGGGAGGAGGCGGGTGAGGGACCGCAGGCCGGGGCCTGGTGCGGGCAGCGGGCGTGGCGGGCGTGAGTCAGCAGGGCTGGCGAAGTGGGGTCTGTCCTTCCCCTACTGTTTCATTCCTGGCACTTTCACTGGGGGTTCAGAGGTACCGACCAGCTTCTTTTTTTTTTTTTCCTTTTTATTTATTTTTTTTAGAGAAAACCCTGAAGTATAGATATGTTTATTTTGTTCATCCTCATCTGAGGATATTTTTTCTATTGACTTTTAGAGAGAGTGGAAGAGAGGGGGAGAGACAGAGAGAGAAACATCGATGTGAGAGAGACACATTGATTGGTTGCCTCCCACACACGCCCCAACCGGGGCTGGGGATCGAGCCTGCGGCCAAGGTACGGGCCCTTAACCGGAATCGAACCCAGAACCTTTCAGTCCTCGGGCTGACACTCCAACCACGGAGCCAGACTGGCTAGGGCTGAAGTATAGATTTTTATGGGGGAATCTCCTAGTTGTAAAATACAGACGGGCCCCACCTGACAACGGCTTGACATGATTTTTTGACTTCACGACAGTGCAAACGCGACAGGCGTTCAGGGGAAGCCGCACTTTGAATGCGATCTTCTCCCGGGCCAGCGGCTGTGGCTTGATGGCCTCGCGCGATGCTGGGCAGTGGGAAGAGCGTGCCTGCCTGGAGGCTAGTGGACGCGTCCTGAGCATGTTTAAGGCGGGCTGTGCTAAGCTGTCATGGTCAGTGTATCCCATGCACTTTTTAAAAAATGTATGTTTTCATTGATCTCAGAGAGGAAGAGAGGAGGAGAGAGAGAGAGAAACATCAGTGATGAGAGAGGATCATTGATCAGTTGCCTCCCACATGCTCCCTACAGGGGACTGAGGCTGCAACCCAGGCATGGGACCCAGCCAGGAATTGAACCCTGACCTCCCTGTTCCTAGGTCAATGCTCAACCACTGAGCCACACCGGCCCGACTCCTCTGTTACTCTTCCCATACTCCTGCCTACAACACAGCTGTTCCAAATAAATACTCATGGTTTTAAAATAAAAAAATGGGTCCCTCCTCAGAGACGTGAAGGTGTCTCTCCCAGACAAAGAACGACATCCGCCACGTGCAGAAAGCCACGGAATGTGAGAACTTAGAAAGTCTCAAGCTCCCCTCTCCCCTCGCCCCATTTCACAGATTGGAAAACCGAGGCTCAGAGAGGGAGAGAGGCCTGCCCAGGGCGCTTACCAGACTTCCTGGATGGTGTCATTCCTTTCCAGGGCCCGCAGGAGGGCTTCCGCGCCTCGGTAGGTGACGCAGTTGTTGGACAGCCTGCAGAGGAAGAGGCACCGGTGAGCTTCCCGGATGCTCGGGTGTCCCCGTGGGCCTGTCCTGTCGCAGGAGGTGTTGGGAGCTGGCCGTCCTGCTAAAGCCGCCCGCCACCCCTCCTCACGCCCCTCTCCTGCTGAGATGCCCAGGGAGCTCCCCATAGAGGCGCGGGGCCAACGGTGAGACGGCGGCTCTCTCCCCCACACGCCAGGTTCGTAGATCTGACTCGGGCTGCGCCCTCGGGAAGGTGCTAAGCACGGTGGCTAGTACTAGCATCTCAGTGCCAGACTTCCTGGGTCCCGGTCCAACTTCCTTTCTGATCTCAAGCACATGAGTCCCACCTTCCTCCCCTCTGACATGGACCTAAATCCACCTCACAAAGGATCAGAATTAAAGGACGGTTTGTTCTGAACCGCGTGGCACCGTACTTAACGGGTGGAAAAGAATCAATGGCCCCAGCCAGTTTGGCTCAGGGGATAGAGCGTCGGCCTGCGGACCCAAGGGTCCCGGGTTCGATTCCCGTCAAGAGCATGTACCTTGGTTGCGGGCTCCTCCCCGGACCAGGCCCTGGTCCTGGTCGGGGCTCGTGCAGGAGGCAACCAATCGATGTGTCTCTCTCACATCAATGTTTCTCTCTGTCTCTCCCTCTCTCTTCCACTCTCTCTAAAAATCAGTGGGAAAACATCCTTGGGGGAGAATTCATAAAAAAAGAATCAATGAACAGGGACATTTCATCTTGGGGGTCTTGGGAGACAGGTTAGGGATGGGGAAGGGAGGTGTCAGGCTGTCAGGGCCGGGGGGATCGGCGGGGGAAGAGGCACGGGTTCCCCATCCTGTCCTTCTCATAACCCTGTCCTTCTTCTCATAGCTCAGCTAGTCAAATCACCTCCCCCCCTGCCTCCACGCCCTCCACCACGGCGGCGACTTCTCAGAAACGGACGCCGAGGCCATGCCATGAGTAATAACAGCCTACCAGGTGGAGTCCTACTGTGTGCCCGCTGTTACCTCCACCCTCTCCCGCTCAGGCCCCGAGGGGCGGGCCCGATGGTCATCCCCGTTCACCCCTGCGTGGCCGGGCCCTCGTCCAAGGGGCAGAGCCGGGGCTGGTGGGGCGGGTCCAAACCCAGGCATTGGTCCACAGCCCACACTCAACCAACGCTTGGCAGTGTGGTTACAAGAAAGATGTAGGCGTCTTTCTATGGGGAACCCAGAGGCGGGTATCGCTTAGAGACGCTGAATGATAAGCCACGCCAAGGCAGGGTGGGACAGCCCCTGGTGCACGGCCTGGCCTCCCTCGGGGCCGACTGGGCAAGTCCGTGGCCATGAGAGAGCACAGTGCCCCCTCCCGCACACCGGGTCCGGGATGGAGGGGGCAAGGCCACCGGTCTCCCTGTCCTTGAGGCCAGATGTCCCGCCAGGCACATCCCGGCTGCACCGGACTCCCAGCCACTTCGCCCATAAGGAGCAGAAGCAATTTCCCCAAATATTTGGCAACTGCCCGGCCCCTCAAAGCGACACACACAGCGTCCCCAGAGCGCCGGGCATGTGGGCAAAGCAGTGCTCTCCCGGAGGCCGCGTCTGCTTCCCTCGGCCTCGCTTGCCAGGGAAAGCGCCCCCCTCCAGCGAAAGGAGCCATGGCGATGCCCTCCGTGCCTCAGCGAGCGCCTGGCACCGGGGAGGGGGGGGGGGCGGAACATTCTCATGTCCACACAGGCACGGACACACGCACCCACGAAAGAGCAAGCATGCCTGCCCGCTTCACATGAGAGACACCCTGGAGGTGACATCATGAGACGCTTCTCGCCTGGGCCAGAGAGGCCTGGAGATGGGGGGCCGTGGCACCTGCTGCCGGCAACCAGCTGTGTCCCCTCAGCTCCCACCTCCCGCTCCGACGGCTGCTCGCTGGGAAGGCCCCGTCCCCGCCCGAGGCCTTGCTGCCGACCGCGGAAGATGCTCACGTCAACATGAGGTGGACGGGCAGCACCCCACAGCCCGGCACCAGCGGATGGAGCCCGAGACGCCTCGGGGATCCCAGACTTGGGGACACGCCGTCACTGTTATCTTCCCTTCCCCGCCTCCCTTCACGGCTCTGTCACCAGGGTTTGCTGGGCCCGCCTGGCCTTGCAATCCCTGCCTGCGTTTTGGGGGACCCCCCCAGCAATACCAGCCGGTTCCGCCAGGCCGCCTGCTGGGAGGTAGCCAGGCGGGGCCCCTGCCTGGGTCTCTGGTTCAGAGCGCCCCTCCCCGCCGCTCAGGCCTGTGCGGGCCCCTTACTTGAGGACTTTCAAGCTGGGATTTCTCCTGAGCCCTTCGGCGAGGGAGCAGACGCCTTCGTCTCCGAGCTGGTTCTCCTCCAGGCTGCGGACAAGAGGAGAGAGGGCTCTGTCGAGGCGGGAACAGTCGTCATGGAAGGGGAGGTCGCTGGAGAGGAGCTGGGTCCCCCCACTTAGCAAGGCCAACACCCCCAATCCACACTTGCAGATAAAGTAAGAGCAGAGAAGGCAGGTGTGGGGGGCTCCGTCCCAGGGACATTTTGGGGAGAGAATGTCCCCAAATTCTCCAGGACGTAAGAGGTCCCCTCGTGTCCCAGGGGCTCAATATCCATTTCCTCTTTCTTTTTTTTTTTTTAAATATATTTTTATTGGTTTCAGAGAGGAAGGGAGAGGGAGAGCAAGAGAAACATCAACAATGAGAGAGAATCATGGATCGGCTGCCTCCTGCACGCCCCACACTGGGGATCGAGCTGGCAGCCCGGGCCTGTGCCCTGACTGAGAATCAAACCCTGACCTCCTGGTTCCTAGGTCGATGCTCAACCACTGAGCCACACCAGCTGGCCTTCTCTTTTTTTTTTTTGGTACTCTTTTTTTAAAAATACATTTTATTGCTTTTTTACAGAGAGGAAGGGATAGGGATAGAGAGCCAGAAACATCGATGAGAGAGAAACATCGATCAGCTGCCTCCTGCACACTCCCCACTGGGGATGTGCCCGCAACCCAGGTACATGCCCTTGACCGGATTCGAACCTGGGACCTTTCAGTCCGCAGGCCGACGCTCTATCCACTGAGCCAAACCGGTTCTGGCCTCTTTCTTTCTTATGAATGGAAGCCTCATTTCGTTTGGGGCAGCCATGTGCTTGGTCAAACAAACAACAACAAAACTCCCAATTCCCACTCCACTGCAGCCAGGGCCGGCCAAGAGACCTCCCCGTGGCCATGGCCGATGGGCCCCTGGGAACGCTCTCAAAAGGGGAGAGACCCAGCCGGCCCGTGCCTTGGCCCTCCCTGGAAAAGTAGACTGCATCCTGGAATGCACACGGAATGTTGGAGGTGCTGCAGCCCTCTTGTGGTCATGAGGCAACCGACCGTGAGGGTGAAGCCACAGGCGGAGGATGTGATGGGACAGAGAGAGAGTCCAGAGCCCCTCTGGCCTGTGGCCACCCACCGGCCCTGCGCCGCCTGCCTCCGGGACGCCTGTACGCAGAAAACTGAGTCCTCTCCTGGTTGAAGCCACCGTAGGGGAGGCTCTCCCTCACCTGCAGCCCACGGAATCATAACTGACGCACTGGCAGCGGGGCACCCCTGTCCCAAGAAGTTCCAGGTGGCCAAACCCCGGCAGGACAGAATCCCTGGTCCGTGGGCGGAGCCAGCGAGCCCTCCCGACAGCCAAGGCCCACCCCACCTCCACTCTGTGGCGCTGCCTGAGGTCTCGGTCCCTTCTGCTTCCTGGATGAATCAGCGACTCATCTGCCTGAGAGAACAGGGGGCCGCCCAGGAGGCGTCATAAGGAGGCTAAGCTGGTGGCAACTACGATGGAAAACCTGGAATCCGCTTCAGATGGGTCCTGCCTGTATGATTCACGGTCCATCTTTCAACTCCACCCCCCCCCCCCCAACTCCCCAGCTGCCCGGGCGGCACTGCCTCTCACGGCCGCTGCGCTCCGGCCACAGACATGATGGGCCGCTGTCAGTAGTGACGTCACAGGCGGCTACAGCGGGTGCGGCGGCGGCGGCAACAGCGGCCACACCGGCACTGTGACAGGGGAGCATGTGTGAAGCACTTACTAAGCTCGTCCCGGGCATCGCCTCGTTTGATTCTTACAAACGTGTTTCTAGTTGGAGAAAACGAACTATGCACTGAACTGGCCTCTGATCACAGCCGGCCTTGCAGCTCAGCCCCTTGATTCCGGAATCCGTGCTCTCACCGGGAGGCCACCTGGAGGCAGTACACACACCAAGGAACCCACGGTGCAGCTCAGTAAGAAGAGCGGGCGCCTCGCCCGGCCTGTGTGGCTCAGTGGTTGAGCATCGACCTATGAACCAGGAGGTCACAGTTCAATTCCCGGGTTGCGGGCTCCATCCCCAGTAGGGGGGTGAGTGGGAGGCAGCCGATTGACGATTCTCTCTCATCATTGATGCTTCTCTCTCTCCCTCTCTGAAATCAACAAAAATATATTTAATTTTTTTTTAAAAAAGGGGGGACGAGCACCTCAATGCCGACTCGGTAAGCTTCGTTCGCCAGGACACTGAGAGATGAGTGCAATCAAGCAATCACTCCATCACAGACCTTTGTCTCGTCCGCACGGCTGCTTCCCCAACGAGGCCAGGGAATGAAGAGAGGCTGGCCTCTGCCCCCCAGAGCCGAGACTCCCCCAAACTCACCAGAGTTCCTCCAGTGCCATGTTCTTCTCCAGCATCGAGGCTAAGGCTCGGGCACCCACACTGCCAATGCGGTTCCCCACCAGGCTGGATGCCATCAGGAGCAAGAACGGGTCAGAGCGGGGAGGGGCCTGGGAGATAAGCTAAGCCAGGATGCGTGGCACACACACACACACACACACACACACACACCACATACATACACACACATACCACATATACATACACACGCACCACACATACATACACACACACCACACACATACACACACACCACATATACATACACACACACCACACATATACACACCACACATATGCATGCACACACATACATACACACACACCCCATACATACATACACACACACCACACATACACACACACCACATATACATACACACACACACACACACACACCCCACACATACACACACACACACAGCCCCAATTCCCGCTCTGCTCCATTCCAGACATCAATCAATAACTGATTATCGCATTCTTTTCCACCAAGCCCAGGCAACCAATCGATGTGTCTCTCACATCAACGTTCCTCTCTCTCTCTCTCTCTCTCTCTCTCTCTCCTTCCTTCCTCCCTCCCACTCTCTCTCCAGAAATCAATTGAAAAAATATCCTCTGGTGAGAATTTATTTTTAATATTTGATCCGTCCCAAGACCTCCAACTTACAGACAGGGAAGCAAGACCCTTGAGAGGAGAAGGGGCTGCTCCAAAGTCACCCAGAAAGACTGCAGTGTCCAGACTCCAGCCCTCTGGCCTCTCCCTCTCATCCCTCTGCCCAGCACGGGGCGGGGGGGCGGGGGGGGGGGGTAAAAATGAAGTTCCGAGACCTTCGGAACTGGCCCGGCTCCCCCCCCTCATGCAGGCTCCCCAGGAGGACGGCGGGACAGACACGGAAGCTTACCTGAACCATCTCAAGCTCTGGTGGTCGCTCAGGGCTTCCGCCAAGGCCTGCGCCCCCTTGTCCCCCACCTGGTTGCCCCAGAACCTGAAGAGGCCAGCAGAGTCCGCAGTGTCAGGGCGGACGCGCCGTGTGCTCCAGCCAGGCTGTGTGTGCTCCAGTGGCTCCTCCCTCTCCGCGCCCGCCCGGGGGCAGCACCGGCCCCCCAATCCCAGAAGGGTCTCAGTGGGGCTCCCGGCTCCCAGCCAGGCGGGCCTGCCTCCGTTGTTCCCACGGGACGGCCAAACTTTTCCCTCTGACTTTTCGGCTGCTTCACGTCAGACTTACAGGACGGCAGAGGCCCACCCCGCGCACACCCTCCGGCACGGGGAACTCACTCCCCACGGCGATCCCCATGGTTGGCATTTAGGTCAGATCAGCTTCCTGGGAGCTGTGCCCACAAGTGCCTGGACCTGCCGGGGGGTGTGGCCCCGTCCCGCACACAGGTGGCTCCACTCCGGGGCCCGGGGCCTGTGGAGCTGTGCACCCCAGCCTGTCAGACACCCCTCCCCTCGCCGCAGGCCTGGCGAGCCTCCCGCCAGCAGGAGCTCCAAAGGGCCTGGTCCAGCCGCCAGCCTCCCCCGCGTCCTTCTCTCTCCTCCATCAGCACCTCCTCTGGGAGCTTTGGAATGTGACTGATTCCGGGGCCCTGCCCTTAGGGGGCTCCCCTAACTGGTCTGCGGAGGGGCCCCGGCCAGGGCTGCTTCAAAGCCCCGCTGGTTCCCAGGCACAGACTGAGGTGAGAAGCAAGGACCTGAGCTTCCTGCCACCTCGCGGGCACTGCCCTCCCCCCTCCCTGCTGTCCTCAGCTTCCTGTTTACTGGGGGGAAAGCAAGTGCCAGGCAGCCAAGGAGGCTACTGGCTCCCCACCTCGCCCCCCGTCCCCCCACCAGAGCCCGGGCTGCCCACGGGGCCGTTAGGCTCAGGAGCTTCCCCGGCCCCACACCCCTCCGCAGGCCCCAAGCCCAGACCCCAACCTACCCCAGGAACTGAAGCGACGAGTTGGCCCTGAGCCCCCGGGCCAGCACCTGGGCCCCGGCCTCGGTGATGTGGTTGTTCCCCAGCCTGGAGGGAAGGGGCGGAGGCTGGGAGAGCGCGGCACGGGGAGGCGGGTCTGCTGGGGACAGTGCAGCCTGGACAGAGGCGCCTGGACAGACGCCTTGGGAACCTGCCTGCAGGATGCGTGTGTGCTATCCATGTGGGGGCCTGCCCTGCCTACAGGATGCGTGTGTGCTATCCGTGTGGGGGCCTGCCCCGCCTGCAGGATGCGTGTGTGCTATCCATGTAGGAGCTGCCCCGCCTGCAGGATGCGTGTGTGCTATCCGTGTGGGGGCCTGCCCCGCCTGCAGGATGCGTGTGTGCTATCCATGTGGGGGCCTGCCCTGCCTACAGGATGCGTGTGTGCTATCCATGTGGGGGCCTGCCCCGCCTGCAGGATGCGTGTGTGCTATCCATGTGGGGGCCTGCCCCGCCTGCAGGATGCGTGTGTGCTATCCATGTGGGGGCCTGCCCCGCCTGCAGGATGCGTGTGTGCTATCCGTGTGGGGGCCTGCCCCGCCTGCAGGATGCGTGTGTGCTATCCATGTGGGAGCTGCCCTGCCTGCAGGATGTATGTGTGCTCTCCGTGTGGGAGCCTGCCCTGCCTGCAGGATGCATGTGTGCTATCCATGTGGGGGCCTGCCCCGCCTGCAGGATGCGTGTGTGCTATCCATGTGGGAGCTGCCCTGCCTGTAGGATGTGTGTGCTATCCGTGTAGGGAGCCTGCCCTGCCTGCAGGATGAGTGTGTGCTATCCATGTGGGGAGCCTGCCCTGCCTGTAGGATGTGTGTGCTATCCGTGTAGGGAGTCTGCCCTGCCTGCAGGATGCGTGTGTGCTATCCATGTGGGGGCCTGCCCCGCCTGCAGGATGCGTGTGTGCTATCCATGTGGGGGCCTGCCCCGCCTGCAGGATGCGTGTGTGCTATCCATGTGGGGGCCTGCCCCGCCTGCAGGATGCGTGTGTGCTATCCATGTGGGGGCCTGCCCCTCCTGCAGGATGCGTGTGTGCTATCCATGTGGGAGCTGCCCTGCCTGTAGGATGTGTGTGCTATCCGTGTAGGGAGCCTGCCCTGCCTGCAGGATGCGTGTGTGCTATCCATGTGGGGAGCCTGCCCTGCCTGTAGGATGTGTGTGCTATCCGTGTAGGGAGCCTGCCCTGCCTGCAGGATATATGTGCTATTCGTGCTGGGGGCCTGCCTATGGCTTCTGAGACTCCATTCTCCACCAGCACAGGGACAGGAGGGGCAGAGCGGGAAGGGGGGGATGGGCACAGGCAGGAGCCACAGGAGGCAGAGGTCCCAGCAGGTGGTTTCCCAGGGGAGCGAGGTGACTCACTGTCACACTTTCCTCCCGGGTCAGTCCTCAGCCCAGCAGGCCCAGGGTTTGCTGGGAAGTCACAGCATTAGCAAAACCCTGCTCCCTTCCCTCTGTATTCGGCAGGAGTCACGCACCCAGCAGGGGCCGAGCCCTGGCGGACAGAGCTGTGGGGGGAGCCAGGCTCACCTCAGTGCCAGGAAATTCTGCCGGCACTCCAGGAGCCGCGCCAGGGCCTGGGCACAGCCGTCCGTCAGCTTGTTGTTGAATAAACTGGAAAGTTCAAAAGAGAGACATGGAGACCAGACACGGCGGACAGTGACCCCCCCAAACCCAGGGCAGCCTGTTCCCCAGGACAGGAGGCACCTGCACCCTTCAGCCACGCAACGCCCGCCCAGCCCGCCCCAGCTCACAGCCGCTCCCGGGACCTGGCCCAGCCCGCGGCCCAGCCCAACTCACGCGAGCTTCTGCAGCTCCTCACAGCGCAGGGCGTGCTCGGCGAGCGTGCACAGGCCGCGGTCCGAGATGTTATTATCTCTCAGGCTGCAAAACACCAAGCAAATCAACTGGAAAAGGGAGCTCAGGAAAGGGGGAAGAAACGAACCAGACCTCAAAAGGGACGTTCGCTCATCCCCAAAGCGCCAGCATCTGCGCTTCGGGAAACGCTGCCGAGATGGAGCCCCCCAGGAGGCCAGACTCCCCCATCCCTGGCCAGCTGCCCACGTCATGCACGGTGTGGGGGACGGCTCAGAAACGGGGGACCCAGCACTCCTGCTAAAGAACACTGGGCTCCTTTGGGAGTCACGGACCTTGGGGAAGGGAAACGGCCGTCAGAGGGGCCTCCTAGAAGGTTCCGAGGTGGAAAAATAATAATAATCCTATCTAATAATAGACAAAGATTGAAATTAACCATACCTTCGCTACACCTCCCATTGGCTAATCAGCGAGATATGCAAATTAACCGCCAACAAAGATCTAGTCTGTATATATAAAAGGCTAAGTGGCCCACCGTCCGACCAGCCTGCCAGTACATATGACATGCACTGGCAATTTAAAAATCAACGTTGACTCGCGCAAGTGTAATCATGACACATTAACTCTGTGTGATCTATGTATGTTATTAGATCCCATTTATAAACTGAGGCTCACGGACCCTACCTAAGGAATGAAGGTCACCGCTCAGGGATCTGTGTGTTTGGTCCACAAATTAAAAAGCTCTGCCCGGCCAGCGTGGCTCAGGGATTGGGTGTCGACCTATGAACCATGAAGTCCCGGTTCGATTCCCGGTCAGGGCACATGCGGGGTTGCGGGCTCAATCCCAGTGTGGGGCGAGCGGGAGGCAGCCGGTCCATGATTCTCTCTCATCATGGATGTTTCTCTCTCTCTCTCCCTTCCACTCTGAATCAATAAAAATATATTTTTAAAAAAAAGAAAGAAAGAAAAGGACGTCTCCTGCTTCGGCCGAGAAGGTATGGCGGCCTCGTGGGTTCCAGGAGAGGTTGGTCCCTGGATGAGGGCCCCGTGAAGCCGCCTGGGAGGCCGTGAGTGGATGTCGGCGTTAAGATCCAACTTCTGCTTTCTGAGAGGCTAGAATAGGGGCAGGACATCCCCTCCCGAGGCAGGAAGGCAGGCTGGGGAGCCTGCATCACGCTGGCCGTCAGACAGGGGCACACCCTCTGCGCTCATCCGGCCCAAGATGGGGAGAGAGGCCCACAGGGCCAGGGTAGTGACCTTCCAAAGGGGAACTCACCCTCAGATGGTACTGGAGGCGGCGAGGGTGACGCCAAAGCCTCGTCCAGAGCCAGCGCTACATGAGGAACAAAAGCTCAGGCGGCCTGGCCGGCGGGGCTCAGTGGTTGAGCATTGACCTTTGAATCAGGAGGTCACAGTCTGATTCCCGGTCAGGGCACAGGCCTGGGCTGCGGGCTCGATCGCCAATGTGGAGCATGCAGGAGGCAGCTGATCTATGATTCTCTCTCATCATTGGTGTTCCTATCTCTCTCCCCCTCTCCCTTCCTCTCTGAAATCAATTAAATATATAGGTATATAGATACATATGTAGATATAGAAAAAGCTCAGGCAGAATTCCACAGTCAGGTCCCTCTGGGGCCCCAGAATTCCCGTCTGGTCAGGATTTTAAAGTCTCTGATGGGGCACAAGTCACCCGTGATTTGGAGCAGTTGCTGACACAGGCATCTACGGTGAACGATGCTGCAAGTGGTGTCCAGGTGGTCAGGGGGCCTCTGGAGCCGTCCACTGACAGGCTGCCAGGAGGGAGCGGGAACTCAGAACCACGGGGGTGCGGCTTGTGTCTCCCGGCTCTGCCACTTCCCACTCGAGCCTGGACAAGTCACGTCACGTCTCTGAGCCTCAGGTGTAGGCTGATGGGGAGAAGAACGTCCCTGCGACAGCCGGGGTGGCTGTGCGGCTCAGAGGTTGCTCTGGGGAGTGTGTGGCACAGTGCCCATCACCAGGCTGTCCTATGAGTTAGGGTGATCGTTGTCATAGATTTAAACAAAGGCCCAGGCCCAGCAGGAATTATATGTATTACATGCAAATTGTATGTAAATAGTGTGATATATGTAAATTAATTATATGTAAATTATATGAGTGTTTTACCACGATGCTGTGCACCTGAAATAAATATAAAAAATAAAATAGCCCGGCCGGCGTGGCTCAGTGGTTGAGCATCGACCGCTGAACCAGGAGTCGCGGTTCCATTCCCGGTCAGGGCACAGGCCCAGGGTTGCAGGCTCGATCCCCAGTGAGGGGTGTGCAATCAGTGATTCTCTCTCATCACTGATGTTTCCACCTCTCTTTCCCTCGCCCTTCCTCTCTGAAATCAATTAAAAAAGCATTTTAAAATAATAACATAAACGAAGGCCCAGACTGGAGGAAGGACCCGGCCGGGGCTGTACAGAGAGGCTGCAGGCTGGCCCTGACCACCGGGATCCCCACAGGTGCCCCCACACCTGCACCTGCACGGTGACGCCATCCTCACCTCACCCACCAGCATCGCCCAGGACACTCACTACAGAGCCTTGCAGACGCCCAGGCAGGGCAGCAGCTGCTCCACGCCGACGTCGCCCACCGAGTTGTGGTCCAGCTGCAGGGCCACGGGCCGCCGGAGGTGGCGCAGCACGAAGGCCAGGGCGGCGCACTCGGCAGGGCCCACGCTGCAGAAGGTCAGCTTGAGGTGCCCCACGTCCAGGCCCCGCACAGCCTTGCGCGCCAGCCGCTCCTCCCGCAGCTCGTACAGGCTGCGGACCAGCCAGAGGAAGCCGGGCAGGGCGTGCATGCTCTTGGCCTCGCCGGGCAGGGCCGGCGGGATGGAGCAGAAGTGCTTGCGGAGGCTGCGGGCCAGACACCGGTGGGCACAGGCCTGGCGCCGCAGCAGGGCCTTCTCGGACGCCTGGCACTCGGCCAGCAGGCCCCGGTGCTCCCTGGACAGCAGCCCTGCCAGGAAGGCGGCCGTGATCTGGAGGTTGTGCGGCTCGGCCTGCTGCAGCCAGGCCTCCACGCCGCCCTCCTCGCTCGGCGGGCCCTGCACGCACAGCGCGGGCAGCAGCCGGGCCAGCGGCGAGCTCCCCGTGGGGCGGCAGTTGAAGAGGTGTCTGAGCGAAGAGGGCCTCACGTCGGTGCTGAGCACCAGGTAGAAGGCGGCAAAGAAGCACTGGAAGGTGATGTGCAGGAACTCCAGGGGCGGCGGGCTCCCGGGCGCCACGCTTTTGGCATGCACCAGGAAGCCGAGGGAAACGTCCGCCCCGTCCACGTGCGCCGCCTGGAGCTGCTTGGCCGAGAACACGTAGCAGCTCACGCCCAGGCCCCAGAGAGCCAGGCGGCCCAGGTGCAGGAGGGTGGGGAGCCTGCCTCTGAGAAGGCCGGGCCCCGGGCCGTGGGGGGCCGCGTCCGGTGGGGAGGCGTGGAGCAGGAAATGCTGCAGGATCAGCAGGTACATGTCCGTGGTGGTCCGCGGGGACCCCCCGCCCTGCAGCAGCAGCTCCTGGTGGCATTTGGACACCATCCAGGCAAAGACGGGCAGGTGGCACAAGCCGTGCAGGGCTGAGGTGGCCCTGAGCAGGCGGACGAGGCGGTCGGCCAGGCCCGGCTCGCGGTGGCGCTTCCGCAGGTACAGCTCGATGCCGTCCTCTGAGAAGCCCCTGAGGTGGAGCTCGGCCCGCACGTAGCGGCGGAGGCCGGCGGACACGGCGTCCGGGCGGCTGGTCAGCAGCTTGCGGGCGTTCTTGAGCAGGTTGCCCTGCAGGAGGTTGAAGAGCAGGTTCTGCACAGACGTGGGCTCGGTCGGGGAGCAGTGCCGCTCGCCGTCCGTGAACCTGAACCTGAACTCGTCAAAGCCGTCGAAGGTGAGGAGGACGCGCTCGGGGTGGGCGAGGAGGAACTGGAACACTTCCTCCTGGCCAAGGTCGGGCCAGCAGCAGTGCTGGAAGAGCAGGGCGCGCACGGACAGGGGCTTGGCCAGGCGCTGCAGCTGCCGGCAGCTGAAAGGGAAGACGAAGAGGAAGTCCTGGAAATCCCGCCCCGACGCCCACAGCAGGTGCAGCCGCTGCAGGAGCGTGCTCTTGCCGCTGCCCGCCTCGCCCACCACCAGCACGGTGTCCGCGTCGGCGTTGAGGCGGCCCCCGGAGCGGAAGAGGGCGTCCAGGCCCAGGGGGGCAGGGCTGGTCTGCGGGGCGCCCGCCTCCGTCCGCAGCTCCAGGGCGTTCTCCGTGTAGATGTCCTCCAGGCACAGGTTCTCCGCCCCGTCGTAGGAGCTCAGGAAGCGCGACTGGGCCGAGACCGTGGTCCGCAGCTTGGACGCGTACTTCTGACACGCAGCGTCTGGAAGGCAGAGGAGGAGGCTGAGCGGGGGCACCGGAGCGGAGGGGGGGCTGCGTGGGGCGGGGTGGCCTGACAGGTGGCCTCACACGTGGGAGACAAGAGCCAGCGGGCTCTTCAGCCACAAGCCGTGGACTTTGAGGACGGTCACCCCACCTTCCTTGCCCTCGGTTTACTCCCCCAGGAAGTGGGAGAGGCGGCCACGGTCCCTGCCTCCGAGGGATTTTATGTGGATCCGTGAAGATACTTCAGGTCAAGACCTTCATGCAGCGCTCGACACAAAACAAGTGCTCGGAAGACCCTCGTCAGTGCCCTCATTACCAGCGACATCGGGGAGAGCAGCCAAGGAGGAGGGCTAGGCTGGGTCAGAAGGCCCGCGTTGTGCCCTGGCCGGTGTGGCTCAGGGGTTAGAGCACCGGCCCAAGCACCGAGAGGTTGTGGTTTTGATTCCTGGTCAAGGGCATGAACCTGGGTTGCCAGTTAGATCCCTGGTTGGGGTCATGCAGGAGGCAGTCAATCGATGTGTCTCTGTCACATCAATGTTTCTCTCTTTCTCTCCCTCTCCCTCTTCCCTCCCTTCCTCTCTCTCTAAAAAGTAATGGGGAAAATATTCTCGAGTGAGGATTAAAAAGAGGAGGAAGAGGAGAAGGAGGAGGATGGGGGTGAGGGGGGGCCTGCATTCGAACCCCAAGCAGCCTAGGGGAGTCCCTGCACCACCCAGCCCAGCTGGATCACTCGGCTCAGCGGGGTCTTTCTAAAGGGAAGCAGAAGGTGTGAGGGCTGAGGAGCCTGATTTCTGAAGTCAGACACACCTGAGCTTGAGACCTGGAAGCCGAGGGCCCCCCCTGAGCTTGGGCGAGCCACTTTTCTGGCCTCGGTAGTCTCATCTGTGAACATGGGAACAATCCCCATCTTCAAAGATCGTTTCAGGAGGAAACGAGATCAAATGGAGCTTAGAAGAATGCCTGACCCGTGGCAAACTTCCAAAACGAGACCCACACCGACGGAAGCCAGACCCACCCTCGCCTGCCCGCTCTGCACCGCCCGCCCCAGGCTCCACATCTGCACAGCAGAGAAGCCACACGGAGACTGTAAACACAGCACCGGGCAGGGTGCCTGCAGGGCCGTGACCTGTGCCCTGAGAGCCGCCACCTTATCTAAATCCACTTGTTCTCGGGTTTCTGAGCGTCGGTGGCTGCCTCGCAGAGATCAAAAGGTTCCAGCCCCACGTAAGGGCTGGGGACGTCTGATCACTGCAGGGCACACCTGAAACTCAGGCACCACTGTCTGTCAATGGGGACTGAAAAACAAATTTAAAACTGAAGGAGAGACCAGCCCTGTGCCAACGTGTGCCCGTATCTCCTTGGCGCACCTCATGAGGGCTCGGCTGGTGAGGGGCGCGTGTAGTCAGCCCTCCACACACAGCAGCTCCCCCGGCCATTCAGGAAATAAGAAGCGCTAATACGATAATAGTGATATCGCCCACATGGATCCTGTTCATCCCCCAAGAGCCCGATGACACGGGGGCGGAGTTACCCTCAAGATGAGGAAGGACACTGCGTCTTAGGGAGCCCCCCAGCCAGGAGGTGGGGTTCTAACTGATGTCCCGCACGCTGCAGCTTCTGCTCTTACCCACGCAGCTGCACAGCCCTGCCCTCCTTGGCAGATGGACTAAAAAGAGCAGGGATGTACCTTCGAGAGAGAGGGCCAGCGGGTCCGGCAGCTCCTGCACGTGCTGTAGGAGGAAGGTGGCCAGCCCGTTGGCCTTCACCGCGGCCAGGTCCAGGAGCCTCCGCGCCTGTGGGGGAAGCGGACGTCATTCCTTCTCCAGGAGGCGGTGGAGGTGTGTGGGGAGGTCACAGGCATCTCCTCCCGCACCACACAAGCCAGGAGAGCAGCCACTCGGCAGCGCGGGTTTAAAGATGCTCCCACCACGGCCCTGGCCGGTGTTGCTCAGTGGATAGAGCGTCATCCTGCGGACTGAAGGCTCCCAGGTTCGATTCCGGCCAAGGGCATGTACCTTGGTTGCGGGCACATCCCCAGTAGGGGGTGTGCAGGAGGCAGCTGATCGATGTTTCTCTCTCATCATTGATGTTTCTAACTCTCAATCCCTCTCCCTTCCTCTCTGTAAAAAATCAATAAAATATATTTAATAAATCAATAAATAAATAAATACAGATGTTCCCACCACCATCGGGCGGCGAGATGCACACACCCACTCGGGTCCCCTCTCCAATAACGGATTGCTCATTGCAGACAGGCAGCCACTAAAAGAGTGGATAACTTTAAAATAAGATAAACGGACAAACAAAACAGGTCACAAAAAACAAAGTAGGTCCAGCCCCGGCCGGTGGTGCTTAGTGGTTAGAGCGTTGGCCTCTTCACTAAAAGGTAGCGGGTTTGATTCCCAGCTCCGGTCAGGACATGTGGGAGGGAACCAATCAATGCGTCTCTCCCTATCAATCAATCAAAGGAAAAAATATCCTCAAGTGAGGATTAACCCCCCCCAAATAGGTCCAGAGACAGAAGCATGGAACAGACAGACAGATCTCAGACGAAAGGGGGTGGGAGAGGTTAACCAGAGAACTTACATGCACACACGCACAGCCCATGGACACAGGCGATAGTGCGGTAAAGGCCAGGCTGGGGCAGGAGCCAGTGGAGGGGGACAAAGCGGGGGGCAATGGGGAGCATCTGTAATTCTCTCAACAACAACAATAATTTTTTTTTCAAAAGGACATCCGGCCCCTGACTCACACGGCCCCCCAGCACAGGGAACCTGTATGTCCAGGGCTCACTAATGACCTGGCCCCCCAGAATCCCAGAAGGGCCCTTATGGCTCCCAGAGAAGGTGAAGTCAGACCCTGTCCCCGAGACCCTGAACTCCCCTCAACCCCCGCTCCTGGGAGCCTCATTCCCAAAGGAAAGGCAACACTGCCCTTCCCTCCCACAACTGTATGTGTGCTCGCGACTCTGTTTTTCAAAACGAAAGGATAGGGTCGTGGTCGGCAAACTGCGGCTCGCGAGCCACGTGCGGCTCTTTGGCCCCTTGAGTGTGGCTCTTCCACAAAATACCACATGCGGGCGCGCGTACAGTGCGATTGAAACTTCGTGGCCCATGCGCAGAGGTCGGTTTTCGGCCTGGGCGAGTCTATTTTGAAGAAGCACTGTTGATATTTGCCTCTGTTGACTCATGAGTTCGACGACCACTGGGATAGGGTGTCGGGCCTGGTTTTGTCAGGCCCTAAAACCATAGTGAAAGCAAAGCAATGACTCACACAGAGTCCGGCTTGCGGTTGCCGCTAGCAGCTGTCATTGAGGACGGGCACAGGTCCTCGCAACACCCTACTTCTGCCCCGGGGTGATGGGAACACCTATGTTCATACCGTCACATGTGAAATCACGCAGCACAATCCCATATCAGAAACCCTAGGTGGCATTTAATCCATATCAGGACTTAGTGTGCTTATATGCATCATTAAATACAGATTTAATTTAAGGAATTGTTATGATCTGTTGAGCTGTTCACTGAAAACAGACAGCCATAGCCCAGCCGGCGTGGCTCAGTGGTTGAGCATCAACCTACGAACCAAGAGGTCACAGTTCAATTGCCCTTCGGGGCACAGGCCCAGGTAGAGGTCTCAGTTCCCAGTGGGGGGCGTGCAGGAGGCAGCAGATCCAAGATTCTCTCTCATCATTGATATCTCTCTCTCTCTCTCTCTCTCTCTCTCTCCCTTCCTCTCTGAAGTCAATAAAAACATATATATATATATATTTTAATGCAACAACTTCCCCCCGCCTGGCCCCCTCCTCAGGGGACCCTCTGGCCCACGGCTCCCCCTGGGACTGGCTGCACGGAGACCAGCGAGTCTGGTGTCGAAGCAGCCCCTTTTTCCTGAGAATGCTGAGTGCGCAAGAAGCAGGCGCCTTACCCGCTGGGATGACGTGAAGATGGGCAGCCTGATTTCGTCACACTCGTACGGGCTGAGGAAGCCCCGCGCCTGCGCCAGGTCCAGCACGCCCTCCACGTGGCTGTAGAGTCTCCGGACGATGGCTGGCCGGTGGCACTGCAGGTCCCGGGCCGGGTGGGGGGAGTGGGGGTCCCAGTGGCCTCGCAGCGCGGGGGACCGGCCGTCGGCCTGCGCCTCCTGCACCGCCGCCAGGAGCTGCTCACAGCCCCAAGCACCCTTATTCCATACGGTGTCCAGGAGGCGCCTGGCCGAGTGGGAGAGGGGCTGGCCCAGGACGCGCAGGCCCTCATATTCCTCCCAGGACAGCACGTCCCAGGAGAGCAGCCAGTCCAGGACGCTCTCGAAGGCCTCCAGGGACCCCGAGCCCAGCAGCCCCACCAGCCGGCTCCTCTGGGCTTGGAAAGCTTCCTGCGTGCACATGTCATGGCCTGCGGAGGAGAGGCGGTCAGCAGGCAGGCGTGCGGGGCAGGGGCAGGGGAGGGGCCGGCCAGCCCACCAGAGGCCAAGCCTGCCATGGTTCTGCCCTCGGACATTCCCCAATCCAAGTTCCCCATTGCACAGATGCACAAACTGAGGCCCAGCGAAGGCAAGAAAGGACCCGCAGAGGGTTTGAAGTGGGTGGGAGTTCAATCAAGCTCCCCTATCCATGCTTCATCTGAGCCAATAGGAAGAGCAATGGCCCCCAAGGGATCCAGAAATTAATTCTCTCTGAGGCGGCGACAGAGGGCTCCCCCATACTGGCTGGGTTCTGGCCACAGCAGCTCCCCCTTCAATAACGGCTGACGTTCATTAAGCACCTACTATGCACCAGGCACCATTGTAGGCAGTTTCCTGCGGGAATTCATTTACTCCTTCCGTCCGCTCTGAAGTCGATGCTATGGTCAGCCCCATTTGACAGATGGCAAAACTAAGGCACAGAGAGGCTGGGTGGCCTGCACAAGGGTTCCAGAAGCATGCCTTTAATTCCCTTAGAGTTGGGGTCCCCCCACCACCACCCCACGCCTGTGCAGGGAACCCTCTGCTCCCCCAAGAGACAGAGCCAGAACACTGCTGTAAAGAGCCGAAACCCAGCGAAGCAAAAGTCACGGTGCAGACTAAGTGGTGTCAAAGCTCATGGGTGCACTGATCCCTCCCCCCTGCCCCGGGGCCTCGCCGCCCTCAGCACCAACCATTGTGTGCCCGTCACCCCTCTGTCCACAGCCTGCTCTGGGCTCAGAGCAAGATGGTCATGAATCAAAATCCCACACGGGGAGGGGCAAGCCTGGGACCGTCTGTGCCCGCCGGCACACGCCCGCCACGGTGAGGGGACGGAGCAGCCTCCAACCAGAAGCCTGTGCCCGCGGGGTGAGGAGACCCAGGCACATGAGAGAGGCAACTGATCCATGTGTCTCTCACATTGCTGTCTCTCTTTCTCTCTCTCTGTCTAACCCCATCCCTTTCACTCTCTAAAAAAGTCAATGGAAAAATATTTTTTAAAAAGCTGAGCAGGTGTGGGTAGAGGCAGGGCCCAGCAGCTCGGGCCGGCCTCGAGCAGGAACAGCCTGGCCAGGTGACACAGGACCGGCAGGTCTCGAGCTGCCGGGGGGAAACCCCAAACGGATGGGCCGGAAGCCAGTGTCGGCCAGCCAGTTGGGCAGAACAAGGTGATGCTGGGCAGTCCTGGCAGAAAGCCTTGTGCAGCCACGTGACCCGCACTGACAAACCCCAGGGGAACCGAGACACGCCCATGGGCGTGCTCACCCACCGGGGGACAGACAGGCAGGGCCCTTCCTGAGGACAGAGTCTGGGGCAGCTGATGGATGCCTGAGCCACACGTGCCCAACTAGGGATATCAGGACTCTGTGCATACCGGGGAGGGGGGTGGGGAGGGCAGGGCAAGGCCATCGCATTTGTCACTCTGCCCTCCTACCAGCAGCTGGGAAGTCCCATCTCTGCCCAGGCCCTGTTCCAGAAACATCCGAGCAGGGAGATTCCCCAAGGACCAATTTGACCAGTGCCCCGTCTGCCAGCAGGCATTGCTGTTTCGTCTCAAACATCCAGGAGGGAGGACCTGGCCTTGTTGCTGTCCTCACTGAGCAGCTCAGGAAGCTCCTCGTTATGTCTAGCTTAAGTTTCCCCTGCTCCACTGTCAATTGGGAGACAATAAAAAACAAAAAAACACAACAGATCTCTGCCCATCACTTATTTGATAAAAACTGTCCCTAAAATCCTGCCTCCTGCCCTGTTATCACCTGCTCGGGCTTCCCCACTTCAGGCTAAATACAGCTGTGCATCGTCACTGCCTTTTCTTCTCCGCCTCAGTTCCTACCCCTTTGGCGTTGTCATAGTTTTTCCTCGAGGAAGGTGAGGCCCATCCATCCAGAGGAAAGCGCATTTCCACGCTGAAACGTGGAAAAGGGGCAGGCCCTCCCTAATCCCCAAACCCAGGCCCAGGCCCTGCGCCTCCCTCCTTCCTGAGACCACAGCCAGCCTGGGTCCCCGGGGCCTCGGGCAGCTGATCTGCTTCAGTGATGAAATCCCAGCCGCTGGGCCCTCAGGAACAGAAGGCGGCTGTCCTGGACCTCAGCTGGGGCCCCGTCTCCCTCCCTCCTGCAGCGACCTCCCCTCCTGGTCCCCTTAACCCGCTTCTCTCAGGGGTGCAAACAGACCCTAACTTTACCCCTTCTGGGTCCAGTCCTATCTCTCGGGCCCTTTCACAGCAGGACCCCTTGTCTGCTGTCCTGACTGACCACTCCAGCCCTTCCAATCGGGTCTCCCCTACCCCCCAAAACTGCTTTTGTCCTGGTCACCCCTGACCTCAGAGTGAGCCCCCGCATTGCTTGGTCCTCAGCCCTCATCCCGCTCAATCGGCCAAAGGCATGTGTCCTCATGGCTCCCCCCTCCCCCTGGAAGCCCCTGCCTCGTGGCCTCCACGGCGCCCCAACGCTCTGAATTTCCTCCCTGGGCGCTCTTTCTGCCCCTTTGGCTCGGTCCTATGCGGGGAGCCCCCGAGCTCCCTGGTGGGACCCCTTCCCCTTCTCCCCGCTCTCCGCTCCCCACCCCCACCACTCTCTCCCTAAGGGGCCTCCACTGCTCTCGCTGCTTTAAACGCCAGCAGCAGCGAGGATCCAGCGAGGATCGTCCGGGCACTCACCACTCACAGGCAGGCGTGGAACAGACGGGGAAACTGAACTGAGGCCGGCAGAGAGGAGCGAGGAGCCCCCGCTGGGACCTGAAGCCTGGCCTCGCCCCGAGCCTGAGGACTTCGCATCCCAGGGGCTCCCCCCACATACACACAGACCCCGCCCCCAGATCACCGCCTCTCTCTGGATCTCAAAGGCTCTCGGGGCCCAGAAGTTCTACCCGTGTCCCCAAGCCCCCTCTTCTCCTGGAGTCACAGTCCGCCAGGGGGCTCCCTAACCTCCGGATGCCCCCTTTCCAGCTACCTACCTTCCATTCAGATCCCGGGACCCCCCAGGGGAAACCGAGGCAGCCCTTCCTCAGCCCCGCGGCGGCCAGAAGGGCTCAGGAACCAGTGTCTGAATCCTACGGGCGAGACCCTCGGCGCCCGCCCTCTCCCGGCGCCGGGCCGTGGAGCACGCAGCTCGGGGAGGCGGGGGGGGGGCGCCCCGATTCCTCCTCTAATTGGTTGGGGCCACGTCTGGAGGATCCCAAGGCTCCTGCACTCAGCCCAACTCACGTCGGGCCCGCCACGCCCCCTGCCCGCGCTCGCCACGCCCATCCTGCGCCGACCACGCCCCTCCTGTCCAGCGCCTCCACCCCCGCTGCGCCCGCCTCCCCAGCTCTGCTGAGTCTTGCCCGCTGCCTGCAGGGCTGGGCCACCTGGCTGCGTGGCCCTGGCCCTGTGTGTCCCCCTTTCTGGGCCACCTTTCAATTGGAGGGAACCAGAGCGTCTCCCAGGACAAGCCCCCCTTCTCTCTCTCTCTCTCTCTCTCATACACACACACACACACACACACACACACCCCTGTGAAACAGAAGCCAGGAAAGCTCTGGGTGACAAAATACAGCGCCCTCGGAGGGGTCAGCCAGCCTTGGTATAGTGAAGACGGGGAACAGCGCTTTGGGGAGTGCGGTGGGTTCCATGGCAGGTGCGCCCTCTTTTGTCGTGTTTCTTTCTGTCCCGCTGTGTGCGTGGAGGAGAGGGTCCCGGGGCGGTACCAACAGGGCTCGCACACCTGACACTGCCCAGAACGTCCTACTGTCCCCAGCCAGCGCCACCGGTTCTCCAGTCCAGGCGTGAATATAAACGTTCCTCTTAAAATACTTGTGTTTGGAGACGTTAAAATCTAAAGTCAATTGAAAGGAAAAGAACTGACATTCACATAGTTATTATGGGCCGGGCTTCACATACACCAACTCAGTTAATCCCGTCTCGGGGCATTGGCTATCATTACCCCTAACTTATCGGTGAAGAAACGGAGGCACCGAAAAATGAATTAACCTACCCAAGTAGTGACAGCAGAGCCGGGATTCACCCCCCCCGGGCACCTGGCGCCAAAGTTCAGGCTCTAATCCACACACACACACACACACACACACACACTGCCTCCAGGTGAATTCCTCTCAGGTAGCACTCAGTAGGTTGGGGTTGGGAAATGCTGCATTAGAAGGACTGAAACTACCCCAGCGACAAGCTAGAAGCCTCCTAAATGCCCCACAATAGGAAATCGCTTAAGAAAACTGACAGGGGCCCGGCCAGCGTGGTTGAGCATCAACCTATGAACCAGGAGGTCCCGGTTCAATTCCCCGTCAGGGCACATGCCAGGGTTGCCAGCTTCATCCCCCACGTGGGGCATGCAGGAGGCAGCCGATGCACGATTCTCTCATCACTTATGTTTCTATCTCTCTCCCTCTCCCTTCCTCTCTGAAATCAATAAAAATATATTGTGGAGGGCGGGGTGGGGGGGGGGGGACTGAGAGAGCAACTGGAAAACTTTGCCAACTCATCTTGCATCCCCCATGGCCCACCTGGTAGGAAGTTTTCCAGCTTGACCTGCAAAATACACCCAGAACGCAACCGCTTCTTGCCAGACCTCCATGCCCACCGGGGTCCCAAGCCCTGGCATCTCTTACCTGGGTGACAGCAGAAGGTCCTAGCCATTGGCCAGGCTTCCAGCAGCAGCAATGCGAACCTGTTTAAAAATAAAAGTCTGGGTACGCGTCACTCCTCTGCGTCAGTCCCTCCAGGGTCTCCCCTTTCAGAGCAAAGGCCAAGGAGGGGCTTTAGGATTGCTGTTTGCACCCCGCACCCTTGGGGAGCCCCCTCCTCACGCTCACCCTCATTCGCTCTGTGCCGCCTGCTGCTCCTGGGCTGTGCCAGATGCGCCACCACCGCTGGGCCTTTGCATCCACTGTTCTCTGCCTGGAATGCTCTTCCTCTAGACACTTACATGGCTCCCTCTCTCCCTGGCTGATTGTGCGTTTTTCTCCATAGCGGTTATCTGCTCACCGAACGCTATGGATTTTCTTATTTGCTGTCTTGGGTGTCAGTCTCTCACCCATATAGGCATGGTATCCTTTTGAGTTCGTGTTTTCATTTTCTTTGGACAAATACCTGGGTGGGGAACTGCTGGGTCAGATGGTGGAAAAACCACTAGGATTTTTCAAAGGCTTGGGTGTGCATGCCCAGTGAGGAGACATAAAGCTGACATGACTACCCACACCTCGCTGGCTTGGGTTTTCGATGCCAGGCCTGTGGAGGCGCAGCTGTCAGTGATCAATTCTTGTTGCATTTACCCCCCAAAAAAGTGTGTGAGTGTTGGGGTTCCCAACTGGGAGACGCCTGGGGGGTGGGGAGCGGCAGTGTACCGTTTCCCGTTGCTTGCTCAATGGCGCAAGGAGGATCCTCAATTACCTCATGTTGCAATTCCGGAAGCTGACACGCAGAGAGGGGCGGCGGCTACCCCCCCCGGGCACCCAGTGAGTCAGGGCTGAGCTGGAGCCCAGCCCCAATCGCCATCCTCTGCGTCACCCACCCATGCATTCATTCATTCATTCATTTATTTGCGCAAGTTCTCATTCCTTCATGCACACAGCACCATGGCAGGTACTGCTGTAGGGACAGACCGCCAACACGGAGCCCCGCCTTCCGGGTGTGGGAGACCAGCAATGAAAAAGCGAACACATAGGCAAACAATGCAGGTCTGGACAGAGGGGCCAGGGAGGCCGCCAAGGGTGAGACAACCACGCTGCACGCTGAAAATGAGAGCAAGGCGCGGAGGAAGCAAGAGAGGGCATTGCGGCTGCAGGAGGTGCCAGGGACGGGCTGGGCGTGTCTGAGGCCAGAAGGCAGTGCCCACACTGTTGAGTATAAGTGACGCTCGCAGGGGGACCACACGCAGTGGGGGGGTGGGGGGGTGCGTAGGGAGCCAGGCGCAGGAGGGGTCTGGATTACCACGAATGCCGGGAGAAGCCGCAAGGGCCCAGGCAGTTTGAATTCTAGAAGAGCCACCTGGACTCCGAGATGCCGGCCTTCCGTTCCCTGACGCCCCGGGACCCCTCGGTGCCCCTCCTCACCACCTGGCCCCAGCACTCCAGGGGGGCCCACCCAGTCCTTCCCCCCTCAGGACAATGGGGCCTACCTGCCTAGACACGGGGAGCTCCTCACCCCAATCCGTGCTGCCGAGAAGCCAGCTCCTGGCGGTCACCTGGGCCAGCTGGGCTCCTCCTGCCCGGCCAGACCCCTGCGTCCGGGGTTCCACAGAGCGCCTCCTGCCCCCTCAGAGGAAGCAGTGACTTCCATGCTCTGCCGGGGCTGCTGGCTGTGGGTGCGAGGCTCGCAGGATGGCAGGGAAGGGCTGTCTATCTAACTGGCATCTTGCAGGTTCAGTCCAGGTGGGGGGCGGGTGGGGGGACTGGGGAGCTGCAGGACAGGGCCAAGGAGGGAGGGGAGAGTGAGCTGGCCTCACTCCACACCGACCCTGGGACCCCCGCCCCCGGCTCAGCGGGCCATCTGCGGGCAAGATAGAGTTGAATGAGGTGCAGCCCCACACTCAAGGGCTCACCCGCTAGCAGGTCAAGCCACAGAATGCAGGAAACGCCGCTTGAACAAAGCAGACCAGAAAGAAAAATTATCCAATCAAAGGTGAGCCATGGCTCTGGCCAGTGTGGGTAAGTGGTTAGAGCACTGGCCCTGGCACCAAAGGGTCGCGGGTTCGATTCCCAGTCAAGGGCACGAACCTGGGTTGCAGGTTGAATCCCTGGCCCTGGACGGGGCACCTGCAGGAGGCAACGGATTGATGTGGCTCTCTCACATCGATGTTTCTCTCCCCCGCCCCCTTCTACTCTCTCTAAAAATAAATGGAAAAAAAGTATCCTCAGGTGAGAATTTACAAAAATAGTGAGCCATGGACTTGAACAGACACCTCACCAAAGAGAATAGAAAGATGGCAACAGCCCGGGAAAAGATGCTCAGCACCACTGGTCAGGAGAGGATGCAACGGAAAACCACGGCGAGGTGCCACCGCCTGCCCCCCCCTCCCCCCGTGGCCAGGAGAACGGCTAAATGAGAGGCCGAGCACAGCAAGTGCCGGCGAGGATGTGGACCGCCCGGGACGCCCATGCACCGCGGTGGGGATGCAGCCTGATACCGCCGTTCGGGTTTGACACAGTCCAGCTATTCATCCCGTAAGACCCCGTCATTTCACCCCAAACACACACGGGCTCTCGCGTGCATGTGGCAGAATGGTCCCAGCAGCATCGAAAGTGATGAAACAACCCAAATGGGCAGCCACAGGCCAAAACGAGGCCAAAGGAGGAGGCATTGAAGCGATGGAGCAGATAAACATCACAGAACCCCAGCTACACACCAACACGCAGGACTCCCAGTCACATACACGTGCCGTGGAAGAAATCAGACGCAAAGGCATACAAATCGTACGCGTGGCTCAATGTATAGAAAACCCCAAACATGAGCAAATGCAGCGATTGTTCGGGGTCTGTCCACAGGTGGTCCACTAAGAAGAGCAAGGACGGGGCCCCGTGGGAATCGGGTGGGGAGGGACGGAGTCAGGAGAGGCACAGAGTGGACTCCCAGGTTGTAGTCTGCGTCTTGCCCCCACCTCCCGCCCTCGAGGCCGCAATACCGGTGGCCAGGAACCACCTCACTCCCCAGGGTTCCGGCCTCCCTGGTGCTTTCTGTCCGGAGTGTGGGCTGCGGCGTTGCCCAGAGAAACGGGTCACGAGGGACGGCGAGTCTGCCCCACCTCCTTCCACACCCCACACTGACTCTGGTCCCACCAGCTCTGTGCTCTTAGCCTCCGTTTCCCCATCTGTCAAAGCCTAGCTCGTAGGATAGGACAGCAAACACGAAGGTTTGGGAGCCCTGGCCGGTTTGGCTCAGTGGATAGAGCGTCGGCCTGAGGACCAAAGGGACCCGGGTCTGATTTGATTCCGGTCAAGGGTATGTACCTCTCACAGCCGGGTCCCGGTCAGGGCTGGTGCAGGAGGCAACCAATCGATGTGTCTCTCTCACATCGATGTTTCTCTCTGTCTCTCCCCCTCCCTTCCACTCTCCCTAAGCATCAATGGAAAAATGTCCTCGGGTGAGGATTTAAAAATAAAAGAGCTTTGGGAGCTAAGGTTCGAAGGCCAGTGGTTGTGGGGGGCTCGGAAGGACAGCCAGGCCACTGCAAGGCTGTGGGCAGCGAGGCCCCGCTCAAACCCGCAGGGGTTTCTGCTCCCCTGCCCGGGCGCCCCACTAGCCCGTCCTCAGCAGCCAATGGGCTGGGGCGCCCGGAGCAGGCCACACAGCCTAGTTCCTGTTTTCAAATGGGGAACTTAGCAAAGTCACGGCCCGGAGCCCGAATGCAGAGCTGAAGGGGGCCCCATGACACCCCTCCCGGATCCCTGGACACCCACGGGGCCAGAAGCCGCAGGTCAGAGGTCAGTGTCGGATCCCACATTTAGTGCCCCTCTACCCCCGGGGGCCTGAGCCGGGCAGCCCGGGACCCACCCTCAGTACCTGTTGGGGGAAGGGTGGCCCGAGAGGGGTGGGTGGCAGCCTCGGTGCACCTTGGGACAGCCCAGGGAGCCGCTCCTTAACCCTCCGCGGCCTCAGTTCCTCCGGAAGTGCCAGGCGCTTCTGCAGCCCCTCTTGGACCTGGGGAATATGTGTTTCTCAAACGGTGGTGCCAGGGAACCCCTGCACCAGCCTCGTCCTGGGTGACTTGGGGAGTCCAGGGCCCACCCCCAGGCCTGCCAGACTGGACTCTGGTGCTGGGAGCCAGGGAGTCTGCTTTCTCCAAGCCCCCAGCACCCCTCCCCCGAGGAGGCTGCAATGGCAGCGGGGACAGTTCCAGCAGCGTGGCCCCCCCCTCTGTCCAGGCCACAGGAGCACAGGGTGCAGACCAGGCCTGGAGTCAGACAGGCCAGAGCTCAAGCCCAGCCCCACCCCAGGACCCACCCGCAGACCCAGGCCACCTGTACCCTTCGTGTTTTGAATCCCTGCTAATGTGTTCATTTGTCCCTTTTTCTAACCTGCCTTAGACGTTTACAATGCTGCTCCAACTTCTACCTTAAGAGTCGTTTATTTCTCAATTAGTTCTCAAAGCACCTACCGCATGTCAGATAATGAGAGGGACTGTTAGACAGTGCGGGGGGGGGGGGGGCGGCCAGGGGGGCCTGAGCGGATGCTGCCCATGGACACCAGCCTCAGGGAGTGGGTTCTGTTTGTATAAAGGAAACTGAGGCACAGAGAAGGTAAGGAACGTGCCAGGCACCCGGTCATGTCATCCACAGGGGTTACGGCATAAACCAACCCGGACAACCGGGCACCCCGCTGCCTCCCCGTACCTCCCACCACCCCCCCCCCAGCAGGTGGAGGGGACCCTGAAGGCAGGCAGGCTACCTTCTGTCCCACCTCAGGCCCTGCCCACCACCGACAGCTCTGAAGTCTCGGTTCCTTCACCATAAAGCGGAGGTCCCACGCTCCTCCACCCCAGATTCCCGCGGAGGGAGGGAGCGGGCACTGCGGCCAGAGGCTCTGCCAGGGCCTCGCGCACTCCCCAGCCATGGGACCTTGGGCCAGCCCTCCTCTGTTCCTGGGAGTCCCCACAGGTTTGGGGGGCAGTGAATAAGACAGTGGGTGTGAGAACCTGGGGGACTAGGAAGTGGGGGAAGAAGTGGTGGGTGGCCCTGGCCGGTGTGGCTCAGTTGGTTGGAGTGTCGTCCTGGGCATCCAAGGGTTGCAGGTTCGATTCCCAGTCAGGGCACATGCCTGGGTTGCGGGCTCCATCCCCAGTAGGGGGCATGCAGGAGGCAGCTGATCAGTGATTCTCTCTCATCATTGATGTTTCTCTCTCTCCCTCTCCCTTTCTCTCTGAAATCAATACAAATATATTGAAACAAATAAATAAAATAAAATAAAAAATTCAGAGCAACGGGTAACATGAGGATCCTAACAAGAAGGCAGGACAGCTCGGCCTTGGGCCCTGGTTTGGCATCCGGCAGTGGCCAGACAGCTGGATGGGCAGCGGAGGCCCAGCCGTGGGGACCATGAGACGGGTCCTAGGCCTCCCAGGACCCACCAGGGCCCCACCCCGAGTGGCTCTCACTGTTCTCTCTTGTCCCCCTGGCAGCCCGGAGCATGGCAAGTGCCCCGCACCCCGGGAGCCCCGGATGGGCAGGACTCATGGAAGCGCCCACCGCCGGCCCTGGCCTCCCGCCTCCAGGACCTGAAGGGGACTCCGGTGAGCAGAGGCATGGGGCGTGGTCGGGGGAACGGAGGTGGGAAGACATTGAAACACACATGTGGGCACCTCAGCAGAAGCCAGGAGACAGCAGGGCACCTCCCTTAGCTTGGCCCATCCCGCAGGGGACACGGAGCTGGGCCGCAGGGGCCCGCCTACGGGCCGGAAGTGGAGCCTGTGACACACGTTGCATTTTGCAACCAGAGCCGCCTGGGGAGGAGGGGCCACTTCAGGTCATCCGTCCGGTCCGGGGCAGGATGGGTTCAGCCAGGTGGGGCCCAGGGTCGGGCTGATGCCCAGCTCGCCCTGTTCTTGGGGGGATGGGGGCGGGGGGAGTCGCAGCTCTT